TTCTTCGTGTAGGTGCAAAACACTTTTGACCCTCCTACTTTCCTGGTGTCCATGAATTCTGTATCAATTTTGGAGTGGATATATGAGCCAAGAACAATACCACCATTCCACCTCATTGACCTCATTATACGATACTGACTGGTTACGGTTAGTAGGTATTCCTTTTCTGGGTCATGAGGATCCCCAGTAATTAAGCCAGTTCGTACTTGGTGGTTCATCCCAGGAATCGTAAGTGGCTTAGTTGACCCCAGTTATAAGTGACCATTGCCCCTACAAAACGCCCGTTTATAATCAGGGTTATAGCCTAGTTACCATTGCCAAATCTTAGATATCCTACAGAAATAAATTCTAAGCTGGTGAACGTGGATAATCCCATACCAACAGATTGTTCAGGATTAGTATAACAGTATAACCCTTTATATTAGCCCATCAACAGAGGTACGCTTGATGGCCCATTTGCTGTGGCATTGGATGGTTGCTGTGCTACCTCAGATTTGCCATCTACTACGCGTACTAATATGAAATAGCTGTGCCATATCACCTATAGATACATATATATATATATCTATCTATATATCTATATATATATGGTTTTAAATTAAAAGCATCTGGATATATAATGATATATATATATATACATAATTACATATAGAAATATATGGTTATATGCTTATTATATGTTCAAAAATCCCTCACCCCCATCCCCAAACATGCCCAAACAACACACGCCGGCCTCACCTCACGTTGGGTCAAGGCTTGGTTCCCGGCGGCGTGTTGTCCTACATTCGCCGTTCCAACATCTACTGAATCTACTGACTTCATCCGCCATCGCCATGAAGCCGGCCAAGTGACGGTGATCTTCCTGATCCAACCAGTGGTTAACCAACTGGATGGTTAGTAATGGTTAGTGGTTAATGGTTGATAATGGTTTTTAATAATAGTGCATGTTTAATCATGGTTGATGGTTAGTAACTGTTAATGACTCTCAATGGTTAACCTTGGATGGGTTCTTAATCCTTTAGTCTTTTGGTATTAATGGGAATATCTACGTTCACAAGCAAAGAATTTGTCATTTTTTGCAGGGTATCTAAGATTGGCAATGAGTAGGGGATCCATCCACTTACCCTCTGGAAAACCTGGTAAACATAGAAAAAAACATGGATAGCAAGGTAAAACAAGGGTTACAACATGTTACAAGCCACATACGATTCGTGGAGCCATCAAGTACTGGAGGTCGAATTTATAACCCCATCTCACGACTCATCCCATCCCCCTAATAACATACATGGAGAAAGGGTTTATTCCCATTATATACTCCCATTAGATCCCATTAAATCCCAATAGCCATATCACCCAATCGTTAGCCGAGTCCCAAGCCAACTTACCTTTTCGGCAACAGCTTGGGCGGTCTCATGACGAAGTTTTGCGGCGTCTCCCTGGGGTGATTTTAAGTGAGGTGGGTATGGGCCATGGATCACAAGTCTGGATGAATTATAAGAAATAATTGGTGACCTAATCATTGGTGCAACATACGGTATTGTTCACAAGACCAAAGTAGCTGGTTGCCAGGGGGAGCATGGTCGGAGGTATATTTTATACCAGATTGTTTTTAAGGGGGCTTGGTGCATATTTTGAGTAGGGGACAGTGATTGTTTATGATAGTTGAAGAAGTTAAGCTAGAACTATTGTTGGAAATTAGGCCATAAATCTGCATTGCATTCTGAATAAGCCTATTGACATTCATATTCTACATAATGTTTTATGCTGTTCCGGGACGTTGCTATTAAAGTTTACATAGCTTCCGGAAGGAAAATTTAGTTTTAATAGCTCCCGGCACTGGGTTCATAGTTTGAATCTCCTAGGACCCTGGTTAACGTTTGAGGTCTTCAGAAGCGTGCTTTTATGTTTTAAGATGCGCCTCTGCCCCGGCTGACAATTCTTATTACTCGTTGCCATGCCACATTCAACATCTTTATGGAAATTTTAGAATTGTATAGATTCCAGCATTGCAGAGAGCGGCTAAAGATGCGAACGTGAAGAATATGAACTACGCTCTGGAGGGCCTGGGGCCTCAGAGCTCTTGGGTTTTTCAGGTGAGTTAAGCTGAATTTTCTTGTGTGGCCGTAGAGCCACACCTTGCATTTCATCAATGGTAGAGCTAAAAATCGTGCCAGTGATCGGGTTGTTGGCATATTTTCCGTCAGAGAAACGTTCCCCGTTTGAATTTTTACTCTCCATGCTTTTCACCGCTGTGAGGCCCATGCCCTGTTGGAACGAGAACCACTGCGACTCGAGGCGCGCCGTTCAGCACATTAAGCGTGAGGCACATTAAGCTCGGGGTAGGGCACATTAAGCTCGTCTCATCAATGCGTGCCCTCCTGTACCTGCAGCTTTTTTGCCTTCCAAGCCCACTGGTTAGCCTCAACTTGGTCACCATGGCCCGTACCCGTGCCTGCTCAAAGCCTGCTGGCAAGACAAAGAAGGATCTCAAGCAGCAGCTCAAAGCTGAAAAGCAGATCAAGAAGAACGAGAAATGTTTAGAGAAAGCCTTGTCAGCATACCAGAAACAAGGGCATCAGACAGACTTTGACTTCATCATAGCACAGCTCGAGCAGACTCCGAAATGGGTCGCACCGCTGGCCCAGTTGATTCGCCACGGCGCGATGGGTGTGCTGTTGAAGACCGGCAGCATGGAGGCTGAGAAAACGGAGGTTCGTCATTTGGGTGAGAAGTGGCAGGGCAAAGCGAAGCGGATCTTGCAGCTACCTTTAGAAGTTCTTGTGTCTATGTTGGAAAAGGCAAAGTTGAAACTCTCCGAGGACGATGCCACGGATGAAGCCACAGTCCTGAAATGCTGCCGTGCGCAGTTTTGGATCACCGACCAGACGCCATTGCCGCAGCACCAGAACATCAAGTTCGTGTCGACTCTGCTGCAGTTTGCGGAGGAGCGACACAAGGAACTTGGCTTCAGCCATTTTAGTGAGAAGAGTGATCTCACGCAGCCCATGTGGACAATTGATGACGAGCACAACTTGGTATGGAACTGTGCTGAAGGAGCCGAGGTGACGTCAATCACCTTGCCCCAGCTTCCGGAAGGTGAGTGGAGCCTGAGTGATGAGAACTCTCCCGACTGTATGGTGCTTTCGGAATCCCACAAAAAGTTCACCTTTGACTGTCGTGGTTTCTTCCCCGACGTGGAAGAGGTGAATCCAAGTCTCCGATGGAAGATTCAACTGGCTCCTTCTTCTTCTGAGCTTGAGAGTGCCGGGAGCAAGGGTAGTGGCTTAGCTTTTGAAGTCTCTCCAAAGAAAGCGTGACATAGGATGCCAGTTGGATGAGACCGGGTAGTTGGATGTGGCCTTGTGACGACCACATCTCGTCATGTTGGCTTGGAAAGTTTCACTCTTAGGGGTAAAGGTATATAGGTATAGGGGCACGCACCAAAGGCTGTCTCAGATGTTTGCCCATTTGAGATGTGCTTGCATGGAGTTCCACAAAAGACTAACTATACATTATACACACACAAGCACACAGAAAGTTTCTACTTCTTTGCGGTCAGCCGGTGGTGCATGTTAAGCAGATGTAAACACCTGCTATTCGGGGAAACAGCGGCCAGACTTGAAAGCCAACACTGGCATTCCGACGCAGCAGCACGTTCAAAAATGTCAGCTTACGGCCATTTGCTGCCCGGCAGTCCTTTGTTTGACAAACATTGCCCTCAACTGACAAGACTTTCCTCGTGCAACTGACTCTCTTCTGCTGCTCGGCAGGCATCTGGCGAATCTGCGTGCCCGACAATCCGATCTGGCGCAGGCAGTGGATGAGAAACTTGCCGGGGGAATGGGGCAGAGGATGTGTTCGGGCGAGCCTGTCTGAGATTGCATTTTCTTGTGGTTGGTTTGCTCTCATTGTTTTGGGTATCTGACTAGTTTCAACCGCAATATTTGTGTCAGCCCGATGAAAACAACTTTCTTGCACGGATGCTTAGATTGTTTCAAACGTGGTCCACAAGGATTATCTATGGATTATCGTATCCATGGATTATATACGTATCAAGGGTAAGCTTTTCTGTCTGCATGCATGTTGCTGAAGCACGATCTCTCTAGTCTGGTCGGGTTTTCCCCTGTTAGTTTGACATGTAGAATTCGATATTTAAATATAATGATATATATATATATATATACATACATTGTTTTTTTTTAACTGTATACGTATATATGTATATATATATATATACCCATGTTGTTTTTCCAACAAGAATTTTTCACGAAAATAACTATAATCTCTCCATCTATCATTTTCGCTGGCCACACACACACAAACACGTCCCCACGGCTCCGCTGTGCCTAGGTGCTTCCTTGGGGGTGGTGGGCAACCCCCCAGCGTTGGAGGAGCCTGGTCCAGGCGTCGGAGGAGCCTGGTCTCTAGCAACTACCATTCTTTTGGGGGACAGACTGTTCTGGACGTCCTTTTTTGAACTATTCCCAGCCTTTTTTCTATATTCCCTTTCTGGCCTTATGAGCTATTCCATTGTCATTTGCATGTGCAGGCGTGGCTTCTGCGAGCAACCGCAGACGAGTTCTCCTTGTGGGCAGGCGCGTTTTCCAGTTTGCAGGTGCTTGTCATCAGACGAATGATAGGCCGTCCTTGGGTCCATTGCCTTTCACCTCCTAGCTTCAGACAATTGCCAAGCATGGATCTCCGTGAGACAGATGTCACCACGCATGTCCCAAGACAAGGCTCCAAGGACCAAAGGTGCATGCATCAATTTAGGTCAAATCCATGTTACAGGTACATATGCGCCTGAACTTGAAAAGATTTGAGAAGCCTTGATTCTTTGAGGTGATATTTCCCAGGCATGCTCTATTTGTATTTATATCTATATATACGAATAAACACATCATTTGTTATATTTACATATTCGTATAGGCCGCGAAAGGGCTGCATATATACTGTTCGAAGACACCTCTTTTCGCAGACCGCGTTTTGCACTGCGTGCCATGGACCCAGAGTCCCAGCACTCTTGGGAGAAGACAACCTTTGCATTTTCCATAGCTTGTGGGGTTTGTCCCAGTTTTCAGACCGAAGCCTACCTGTTTCATCAGCCGCAATTTGAAGGAGGCACAGTCTTCTGGGTTCTCCGATGGGCCATAGATTACCTTGGGGGCAATCGGACACGAAATTTTATTGGACAGTCCGCCCAGACATGGCGAAACAAGATCGCTGCCGGACTAGAGGCACTTGGTCAAGAACCAGAGCTCAGCAGTCGCCACGTTCTAACTTCTACCTGGTCTGAGTTGCAAAGGCAGACGCCTAGCAAAAGAAAAGATGTTAGTGAGGACACAGTCGCACCGCAGGAAGCTTCACAGGCAGGAACCATGTTGCAAGATTATTCCATTTCAACATTCGGGCTCCTGTGCCTGTTGTCTTGGTGGGCGGCGCACGGCCCGAGAGCGACTACAACCTGGAATTTGGAGGCGTCTGAATTTTGCCAGCGATGTCGTTCCATTATCTCTGGTCTTGCTTCCTTGTTTGTCCAACAAGGGACAAAGAAGCACTCCAAGGTAGTCTCTGGCTTCGATTTGCTCTTGTCAAGTCATGCTTCTGGACATGGGCTTTTGCATGTGGCCAACCTGCTTGATTCAGAGAAGGGCAGCAACCTCAAGAAAACTTTTGCCGGCAAGAACACGGTGCCTCTGGACGAAGCCTTCTTGCAGTTGGCCTCTGACAGTGGTGCAAAAGGGTTGGGAACGAAGCGGCGTGATGCTGCGACAGAAGCACATGCCAACTTGTGTTGGTTTGTGGCGGAACTGGTTGAGGCAAGTGGTGCTCGGAAAGATTCTGTATGGCAGCGAACCCAGTTGCATCAGCTTGATCAGTTGAGGACGCAGCGCTTCGTGTTCATGATGGGTGGCTGTGGGAATCGGGTGTCCACATGTTTTCTCGCCCATGCTCCTTCCACCAGCTCTTTTGTATTTCAGCTCCTTTGTTTTTCATTGCTGTACTCGCTTCAGAGATTATTCGTCAACTAAGACTTCAATTCAGTTTCCATACATAAGCTAGATTTTTTTGCTACGTTCCACAAAGCCCCGCCTTGTTGCAGGACAGCACGCGGATATCGGAAGTCTAGTCATGGCTTCAAGAACGCAATTGTTCAGGCAACAGGGCAGGCACACATGAGGAGTATTTCCACGGTCTTAGCAAGCCAAGCTGTGATGACTGGCGAAGGGCCGGTGAGTGATCGCGCTGTGCGCGCTGCAGCACGAAACCCAGATCAGTACATGCGGTGCGAACGGTATGGCTATTTGACTTCTGCCCGCAAGGCCTTCAAGGACCAGCGCATCGTCTCTCTTTGCGCAGATGGCGTGCATGTTGGTGATGAAGATTGGCTGAATGTCGCCATGTGGTCACCTGAGCGAGAATGTGCTTGATTTGCGCGGGTCTGAGCAAGACGAATGAAGTGCAGGTTGGTGCCAAGAGTTAGAAAAGTGTGTGTATGGGCTAAGAACAAATAGACACCAATAGTGTTTGCAACGATGCCAATTTTTTGCATGTACATGAAATTGGCATCCTTAGCGAAATAGAATAACAGGACGCAGAAGCTTTAGCTTGATTGAAAGACATGTCGGGAATACAACGGATAGGAGTGCATGGGCTATACCCTTGCTGTTTTTGATTTTGACTTGATGTTGCAGTGCCAGCTTGTGGGAGAGTTGTAAAACTTTCCCGTGAGTAAAGCATAAAAGTGTTGATTTGAAAACGAAACATAGAAGCATTTGCGTTGAAAAGAAGAAGAAGACGTCTCCAGTCACTTGTTTACAAGGTGACAAGTTTCTCTGAGGTTGCTCATCCAATGTTCACGTTTGTTGGTGCATCCAAAGGCAATGGCAGCTTTCATTAACTACTCAGTACCTTTATACAGAGGTGATCTCCAAATCAGATGTTTTTTTTCCCGGGGGGGATGTCGTGGTTTGCTGTTATATTGGTTGTCGACAACTTAGTTTAGGCAGTTGGTGGGCTTTAGTTTACAAATTAGGGGTCAACTAACTTGGCATTGTGTTGACCATTTCTATGCGGAACTAGTAGCACTGAGCGAAAAATAGAATTTGAGCAGCATCTGAGGAACGTGTGAACCGAAATGGCTCCCTGTTAGGGCAGCAGCTTCTTGTCGGACACCCCTTCACGACGCCAGTGTACCGCTGGATTTTGCGTTCCCTCTCCAGTTGTGATTTCGAAGTGGTGCCAGAGATGGTGTTAAGCTATCTCCATATGTGGTGGGGGTCCTTGTTGAATTCAAAACTTGTAGAAGATGCCAATCAATTGCAGAGAACAGAGGAATTGCGGTGTGTGGCCTCCAAAAGGGTCTCGTGCCAGCAAGGATGGTATACCCTGACACAGCATCAGCTTCTCCGCAAGAATGAACGCACAGAGGTACAAGCACAGAGTGATGTGAGAATGGAATCAGATTTCAACTTTGAAGCGTTGTTCCGCTTCACGCAAAAACGAGAAATGGATGTTGAAGAAAGTGCTGATTTTCGTTTCTTGCAAGACATCACCAAAGACATCACTTGGCCTAGCTTCACTCCTGCAAGCGCGCAAGAATGTCTGAGCAATTTCGCCTTGCTTGGCAAAATATGTCAGGAAGAGCCAGTCGATTGGGGAAAGGTTGGGAGCTCACAATGGGCATCTTTCCTGCCGCCAGGCCACGTTATTGTGCAACAAGGTTGTCCTGCACTGGTGCTTCGGGCTTACCGCAGAGCGTGTTTGGTGTGGCCTCTCGAAAGAGGCCCCTTGAGGTCTGTGAAGTTCCTGAACGTGGCAAGCCTAAGCTGGGCTTTTTGCTTTGATGTGGCAGAAGTTCAAATAGAAACTGTGACAGCCCGATCTCCTCTTGCCATGATGGGCACGGAATTGGAAAACCACGGCATAGTGTTGGAAACCGGAACTTCGACTGGGCTTTGGGAGTGGCACGTAGAGCATGGTTTTCCCGGTGTGCGAGAAGATGCTTTGCGCTTTTTGTGTGCAAAATATGGCATTGACTTGTCAGAGGAGCAGGGCGAAGATGCAGAACTTCATTTGGTAGTCCGGTGTATGCTACACTTCGACCCAACACTGACGCAGGCAGAGGTGACAGAACGCGTGCTTCAGCGTGCTGAACTGCAAGTTGAATCTTTGGAAACAACAGAGGGGGAAATCTCGGAGGCGGTTCAAGACACCTTGCTGCCTGGTGAACAACGGAAGGCTGGTTCTGGTCCAAACAAGGGATTTGTAGGTACCTGTAAAAATGCTTTGTTGAATCTCCCATTTATAGCATGTCAGTCAAACCTCTTCCTGACAGGTCGTCGACATAGTGACTACACATGTGGCAAAGCGAAAGGACAGTGGTGCTGTGATCAAACGAGCTGAAGAATCATATTCCCGAACCATGAAATTGCTTCCGCCCAACGAGGGGGCAGAGAAAGTTCGAAGGCAAAAGGAAAAAGCAGAGACCGAAGCCTTGAAGTGTCAGCAGCGCATCTACGCGCGAAGAACCTCCTCAGCCCATGAGGCGTTGCAAAAGTCATTGCCAATTGGCGCTCGCGCGTACGCTGACGATTTGAATGGCAGATGGAGATTATCTTTTCGAGGACACACCAAGTCAATTTCTTGGACCGCTGCAGGAGCAGAAAAAGCTGCTGCTGCAGCAATCAGACAGGTTTGGGCCTGGAGTGTTCAACAAGGAACGGGGGACACCCCGGCAGCAGTGTTGAAAACACTGGCAGAACTTGACCGCTCCTCCAAGTGAAAAAATTGAGAAAAAAGGGCTGCTGTATCCGTGTTTCCTCATCCTCTCTCTGATCACATGTCTTTGCGCTGGGTTGTAGTGTTACGTTGAAGATTCAAGAAACAAATGCCAGAACATTTTGAAAACCAGTTTCTTGAACTCATTGCAATTTGCAAAATAAGAAAGGCTGAAGGCTTCAGAATTCTTCATGCAAAACGCACGGAATTATTTCATGTCCAGAAAGACGTCGTTTCAAAATTCATGTGTTGGATTTTGTTTGCAGTTGAAGAGCAGCAACCCTTGTGGCCAGGTGGTTCGCAAGCTGCTGCCCATTTCCGCCGAATCTCCGCCCAATCCGGCGGAAATCATCCCTAGACCCCGCTTCCCCCCCAACCCAGCTTCTTCGGTTGCCCAAATTGTAACCATGAACATAATGACTTACCATGAACATAATGACTTACCAGGAACATAATGACTTACCATGGAAAAAAGCCAGTGATCAAGCATCACTCACTTATTATACTTTTTAGCTATGGAAAGTAAGGAACATCGCAATTTTTATGGGCTAAATCACTAGGTCAATCTTACATGGATACTTTAATCCTTTAGTCTTTTGGTATTAATGGGAATATTTGCTAACCAGCAAAGAATTTAATTTTTTGCAGGGTATCTAAGATTGGCAGTGATCATACATAAAGTGAGGCAATATCCCTATGTTAAATCCCATGTTCCCAGACTTGGAAACACTATGTTCAGGGTTTACCACCATAAACGGCATGATTTCCGATGTTTCAATGTTGAAAAATCATGTGGGTTCATACCTCCAACATGCACAGCCCCTACTTTCCAGGTCATAACTCATCTATAGTTGCCCCGGATTTCTGCGATAATACCGTGAACGATCAGTGAACCGGAGAAAGAAAGATCAAATTGTTGCCATGTTTTCAGGAGTGGTTGAGGGAAAACCGACAGGAACCCTGTATATATATATATATGATAGATAGAGATATATATATATATGTGTGTGTGTGTGTGTTGGATTCCTTTGGTATTAGAAACCGATCTTTTGGGGTAGGAAACCTCTATGATTCTTTATGTTTCGGGATTTTGGCATCAGAAACATATGATTTCGGACCAGCTCAAGCGGATCGACACATGAAGAATTGCCATCCATTGGGTTCAACAAATGGAAATCTTGAAATCATCAGCGAAAATTCTTTCATCTATTTGGAGGTTCCAAAAAGGACTTCTTGGTGGTTAATCCCAGATTCGATGCGAACCATGGTGCTGGCATATGTACCTACAAAACTGGGTGATTTTGTGGCAAATGTTGGTACATATTCCATACATGGAGCATCTGGGAATATCATTGTTTGGCCATCATTGTTGATATGGCTCAGAATCAGGTGGCAGGGCGTTAATGATGGCAAACAAAGTTTGAAACAACAGCTGACCATTTGGGCATTGTTTTTCTTAACCAGGATGCCCAGATACCCCCATTTGTGGCAATCTCGAAGGGGAAGATGATGATCACCGATGAAATCTTGAGATACCTCATGATTGAACCAATCTCACATGCTAAATAGCTTTACTCTCCTATGTTCAACTCCAATTTCTACGTTTTCAACAGATTTTTTGCAAGAGAGGTGGAACTTTTGTTGAAAATTCTCAGCATGGTCAACGTTTGAACTGGCCCATGAGTTTCTTCTACGGTTCACTGGCGCCGTTCTTCGTTCTTTTCCACAGTTTTCAAGGGCCAACCGGTGGCCAGCCGGTGGTGGTCATGAGTGGCTTGGAAGTCGCGATCCTTGGAGAACATGTTTCTTTAAAAGGCAGCTTTATGAGGAGGTTGCCCCTGGGAATTTAACATAGCTATTGGCCATAGAAATAGTTGATTTAGCTATATAAAAAAACATATGATTTTCCAGTTCGCTATGTAAACGTTTACCAGATGGTAATCATGATGAAGCATTATAAACTCAAAATGATGCCACTGCTTCCCAAACCATGGGCGCCGGATGTGACAGTCGGCTTCGCAGTGAATCCGGTGAATCCCTTGCCGCGCCCGGCGGCGTTGCACTGCTTTATCCACTGGAGTACAGCTGAATGGAATGCAAAATAAAGATCAATAACGTGTGCGCATAAATATATATATATATATATGATATGGTGTGTATATATATATATACAACAAAGCCAATCTACAAACCCAGAGGTAAACAGGGTAGTGACAACAAAGCGTCAGCTTGGTAAGCCTCGATTAAGTACGTAGCTACCTTGATATTTATTGGGTTTCATTGTGTTTCCATTTGGGCAGTAAATACTGTCCTGAAAATCGCCAAACATACTTGGTGGCTCATCCCACTTAGTAAGTGGGGTATATCCCAGTTATAAGTTGGTTAACCCTACTTATCCCACTTATAACTGGGATATAAACCACTTACTAGTTGGGATGAGCCACCAAGTAGTATTTGTACGTATTTGTGGCTAGGTGCATCTGCCAGATTCGTCATGATGACTTTCAGTTTTACCCTCTGGCTATTTGACATAGCTATGGAAAATGGTCCATTTATAGAGGGTTTATGATGATTTACCTATCCAAAATGGTTATTTTCCAGTTCGCTACGTTAAATAACCAAACAGTAACATCTTCGTCGCAGAGCAAGACCTGAAAAACAAAGCCAAAACGCCAAATGCCCGCGATTCGCCAAAGCAAAAAAAGGTTGCGTGCCAACAAAGCCCATGCCAGTGATGTACAAGGATGGCACCCTTAGATACAGTACCCGGCCTGGTAAACTAACAGTTTGCGAACTCGAAAATGGCCATTGATAGTGGATTTTCCCATTAAACATGGTGATTTTCCATAGTTATGTTAGTTTACCAGAGGGTAACTGATAGAACTGTCACCCGCAAACTAATATAGATGTGGACAATTACGGAAATTAAACGTAGAGAGAGAGAGAGAGGGAGATAGCATTTCCCGCATTTCCTGCAGTTTCCTCCGTGGATTTTCCATATTCAGTACCTAGTTGATACTTTTTTTTAACCCAATTCTACCACCAGCTTTGGGAGTTGTCAGAAACCGTATCCGATCGGCTTCATTCTTGGATTCACCATACTACATTCCAGACTTGGATGAAGGGAAACACCTGTCGCAGGTTTTCTGCCAATAATCCCTAACCAAACCAGTCCAATTTATCCTTAAGCCACCTTCATCACAAAGACATACAGTAATCATCAGCTGACAAACTGCACATTCCTTGGGAGGGAGCTAAGGAGCTATGTATGAGTGCCCATGCATCAACATTCCACATTTTGGAGAGCTAAGGAACCAAAGGGAATTGTCCAAAGTCAAATTAATTTTAATTAGTCATAGATATATCATGATATCAAATATTCAGACCAACAAGTATGGAGCGCTCAGCATGTATCAGTCAAATCCCGAAGAGAGCTTCATACAGTAGAATCTTCAAGCATCTGGAGAATTTAATGACCTCACGTTGTTTTCCGTCACTAATGATTGGAATCGGATTGGGGTAGCCCAAAAACAACCATCAGCTTGGTTGAGTTACCATCTGGTAAACTAACATAGCGAACTGGAAAATCACCATTCAAATAGCTAAATCCATCTAAATCCACTATTTCTATGGGTCATGTTCTTCAAATTTCCAAGTTTTTTTTTGATTTGTCCACCTATGAGCTTCGAATCCGGGATTCCCTTGATCCTGCGGAGGCTGTTTGCTGAACCCTTCTATCGCTTGGCTCATGCGGAGGCAGATCAAGTGCCAGGTCTGGTGGTGGACCGTTGCGGTGGCTCAATGGCCGTTCTCACCTCGTCCCTGGAGGGTTGTCCCAAAAAAAAGGTGAGAACTATGGCTACCGGGCTAGCGGCTGCCAGTTAAGTGAGATGATCCTCCAAGTGGCTATAAGTCGCGATTCACTGGGGCACCACCTTGTACCATGTAAATCCAACACCGATAGTAATATATAATGGGAAATATAAACAAACCCTAGTGAAATTGGAGGTATGTTACAAACCAACTTAGCTAACTCACTGGGGCACCACCTTGTGGAAACTGATTCATATTTTTTTGGTCAAAGCCTTGTACTCACACGCACCTGGAGCTGCGGATGTCGCCTTTGGAAGCCGGCCAACATCGGCCAACATCGGCCAACAAGACGCGAGCCCTACAGGAGTGGCAATGTAGGAAGCGTTGAAAAATGGCGCCATTGAAAACACGAATCCACCAATTTTTACTACAATCCACCAATTGTATCCAATTGTTACTACACGCATAAAAACAATTGGAGCGTTACCATTTGTAAAAAAAACTTCATCTTGACCAATTATATAAAGGTCAGATTTGTAAAATCATATGAAATCCAGAGGTTGTGATTAAAAACACATTCCAAAAAATGTTTAACAAATAGTGCATGGCAATAGTCACCATTTGTTACAAAAAAAAACGCACATCCATTACTTGGAGATACTTAGGATGTTCTTTTTCGGAGTTCCTTAAGTATCCCTGAGCCTTTGGTCACACGTTGTACGTGAGTAAATTCTGCCGAAGCACCGAAGTAATCCTCCAAGTAGGGATATTGAATCCCTTAGAAGATAAGACAATCCTAGTAGCTTTGCAAAACCCAACTGGGATAATAATGTGATATAAAAATAGCAGAAAGACCAAACAAGAATTGCCATGTTCAATCTCCGATTATTAATGATCATGAATGAATTCAACAAATTATTGAATTATTTCTAACTGGAAGTTTTTGGGATATGATTCGGTTATGATATTAATATAAACATATAAAAACCAACTATATCCAATTCTTACAAGGTGGTGCCCCCCAGTTATAAGTTAGTTTACAAAGCCCATTAACTATATAGTTATAGTCCAACTTAGCGATTCCGAACTGGGGCACCACCTTGTACCATTTGAATCCAACACCAATAGTAATATATAATGGGAAATAGTTCCAACTATATATTGGTTATTGGATATGTCCAACTATTGGATTCCCAATTAATAGTAATAATTGCTTGTTAAATACCTTCCGGTAAACTAACATAACTATGGAAAAAAATCACCATTTTTATGGGTAATTCAACTATAAATGGCCATGTTCAGTAGCAAACTGTTAGTTTACCAGGGGGTATATAATAGGAAATCATTATAATCATAGTTAGTAAGGGGAATCATCCCCAAATGGCCGCAAGATTCACGTTAGTGAAATATTATAAAATATTATAACTTACCCAGATTAATGGTAATAATTCGTTGTTGGATATTGGGAAATCCAACACTATCATATCATATACCATAATTAATTAATCACCATTATCCCATCACTATCCCATTAATTAATCACCTATTTTCCTATATTGTCCCAGGATTGTCCCAGGATTGTCCCATGATCTCCTTAATTCTTACTGTTGATTTCACCCAACCAAGGTTATGGAGACCACCTTTGTGTCCAAGCCTCTAGCGGTTTGGACCACCTGCTGTGGCCCATTGTGGATGCCTTAGAGGAGGCGCACGACACGATACGACACGTCGACGCCAGGAGTTCCTTGAGTTTCACTATGGTCATAAGTCAGGACCATAGGAAAACCATAGGAAAACCATGGGAAAACCATAGGAAAACCATAGGAAAACCATAGGAAAACCATAGGAAAATGGTGATTTAAGCCACCAAAATGGTGATTGAATAGGATTTAAGGCTGATTTATGACCGCTAAGTTGGCGAACATAACTCCGATTTCACGATTTATGATATTTGGATGTATTTGTAACACTATAGTATTCCACAAGGTTACAGGATATATGAAATGCAGATAATCATGGGATATTCATGGGAATATGAGTGGGATATGAAAGGTGTATGAATGGATCATGGGATATGAACTGTTCTAATAACTAGTGAAGGTGCTATATTCCCATGAAATAGCCATAAATTATCCATTGTGGTTAACCGACTGGTTAGAAACGAACTAGCGATTTCAATGGTAAAATTCGTCCCAGCCAGCTTGTCAGAAAAAAAATGGCTGGTATCTAAGATTCAGCATGTGTTGAAAGCCTTGGATACTCATGGATATTCATCCTTAAACCCTTATGGAATCCTTGATTTACCCTCTGGTAAACTAACATAGCTATTGAACATTGCCCATTTATAGTGGATTTACCCATAAAAAAATTGTGCTTTTCCATAGTTTTTTGTATGTTTACCAGAGGGTAATGTGTTTTTTCAACATAAAGGGGTTTGAATGTGCTTCTTCATGGGATTTGTTGCGGAATGCGGGCAGCCCCAATGCCATATAAACACCCCGCCGGACCGGGGTGGGACCCTGCTGGGGGTGGTGGGAATCCCATCAAAATGGTGATTTTGGGCATGGGTTTACTATATTAGGTTTACCATATTAAAATGGTTTAATGATGTTTAATGGGATTTCCCCAATAGTTGGGATGATGATCCAATCTATTAAACCAATAGTTGGTTTACCATATTAATGTGATCATGGGAAACTGTTTACCATATTAAAATTGTTTACCATATTATTTCTATGGAAAATCAGCATCTTTCTGGAAAATCATTATTATCTATGGAAACTCATTATAGATTAAAATGACTATTATTAAGGAGATCATGGGAAAATCCTGGGAAAATATAGGAAAATAGGTGATTAATGGGATAATGATGGGATAATGGTGATTCATGATGGTATATGATGGTGATACCCTCTGGTAATTTGTTACGTAGCTATTGAAAATGACCATAGAAATAGTGAGTTTAATAGCATGGTGATTTTCCATAGGTTTTTGTATGTTTACCAAACGGTATTATATTGGATTTACCATATTAGTATCTGGTTGGTGGTTTGGAACATGATTTCTATTTTTCCATATTTTGGAATAATCGTCCCAACTGACTTTCATATTTTTCAGAGGGGTTGAAACCACCAACCGGATATGGTTAAATGGGATTTCACGGGGTTTAGTGGGATATAACATGATACAACTATCCAACTTAATGGGATTTATATGCCTATCCAACTTGCATACTTGGGGGTATTTGGGGGGGTGCGGGCCAGGGGTAAGTTTGATGGCTAGAATAGAATGCCATATGCCATGGTATTTTTTATTGGAGATCATAGGGATATAGACAGCAAATAAAAAGGGGGTACAATGGGAATAGAACGGAATATAATGGGATTCATGGCTATAACTATGGAATTTTAACATCGGCGTATGGGGCCCCACCATTTTCCATGTGAAATTGTAATTTTTGGGCAAATGCTACATGCATCCCATTTCTGGTTGCTGGTTGTCCTGGCCCATCCTCACCTTGTGCCGTGGCGGCGCACATGACCTTCCACAATGTCGTTGTCCAAAGGATTCCCTGGCTTCGAAGTATGGATTCAACCGGCCAAAGGATTCCCTGGCTTCGAAGGAGAAGAAACAGACTTAGATAAACCACCATAGATAAACTTTTCCCATTCAAACCTCAAAGATTTTCCGATCTTTTCCACTCTTTTCCTATTAAAAAAACACGAGTTATCCCTTTAGTTCCCGCCAGTTATTATAGTTTTTCCCATTCAAACCTTCATTTAGATATCTTTATAGAATCTTATAGAGATCCCCGCCGGTTCTATATAGATAACTGGTTGGTGGTTTGGAACATGAATTACATTTTTCCATTCAGTTGGGAATGTCATCATCCCAACTGACTATACAATATGTTCAGAGCGGTTGGTATACCACCAACCAGTATTGGGTTTACCATATTAATATTGTTTAATGGGATTTCACGGGATTTAGTGGGATATACCATGATACAACTATCCAACTTAATGGGATTTATATGCATATCCAACCGTATCCAACTTACATACTTAGGTTTACCATATCAAAATGGTTTAATGATGTTTAATGGGATATAAAGTGGTACCCCAAAAATATAAAGAATCCCTTTTACTTCGGGGATTTCAACCGATCTTTTCCTACTCAACTTCGTGTGAGATCCTGCGCCTCTCAAAAAAGGTGGTGAAGCCAAAGGTGGTGATCATTCGACAGGACGGGACGAAGATCACAGACCATAAGAAAACCATAGGAAAATGGTGATTTAAGCCACCAAAATGGTGATTGAATGGGATTTGTATCTGATTTATGACTGCCAAGTTGGTGAACATAACTCCAATTTCATCCTATGGTTTTTGTAAAATGATACCCTCAAGTACGGTCTGGAATGCCTGGACCTGGAGACCACCCGGGTTTTTCCATAGTAATGTTGGTTTCGACCAAGGTACCCTCTGGTAAACTAACAGTTTGCTATTGAAAATTGTTATTTATAGTGTATTTTCCCATTAAACATCGTGATTTTCCATAATTTTTTGTGTGTTTACCAGAGGGTAAGTCTTCTGTTAGCGATTCACCTGGTGGCTCGAAATCATCCAATGCCGTATACAAAAGGAAGGGCAAAGCACCCCAAGGCACAGAATCCCAGTGCAATCTGACGGTCAGTCACAGGACACGCCTGGGAGAAAGCGAGAGAGCCTTGGTAAAACAATTCCGGAATGGCTATTTATTGGATTTTCCTATTAAAAATGGTGATTTTCCATAATTATGTTAGTTTTCCATAAATTCCGGAATGGCAGCCGGGCAGGAATTCCTCCCAAACCTAGATCAACGGCAGCCAATGGGTAACTGGTGGAGGCTCCTGCAGTGGCCTGGCGAACGTTAAGCATCACTACCCATGACGGATCCATGGTGCTGCTATATATGGTGCTCCATGGATCCCATCAATAGACCCCCTTTATGTTAGCATATATATACCAGCACCATGGATCCGTCATGGGCTAGGGAGGCTTCATTGTAAAGTTAAAGATTGACATGTGCGACCAAGGAAAGCTTCACTCCGACGGGAGGTGCTCAAGGGATCTTACCAGGCGGGCTCAACCCACTTAGTAACTGGTTAGTAAGCCTGGTGATCCTATGTGCCCTAAGTGGGTTACAGTAACCCATCTACAAGGTGGTGCCCCCCAAACGTTATAAATTGGTTTATAAACCCCATTAACTAGTTCGATATATCACCTATAAACCATAGTTATTGGAGTTATGTTCACCAACTTAGCTATCTAACGGGGGCACCACCTTGTATAAATGGGGTACTGTCTAATCTGTATCTTGCTAAGTCGAAGATCGGTATGCTAGCGATACGGCGACATCCAATTCGCTGACCGCATCCATGTGGAAGGAAAGGGTCGCGGCGACTGCAACGCGGGATGACTTGTGAAGTTGGTACATGCTTACAGAATGGTGCCCCCCAGTTATAAGTTGGTAAATAAACCCCGTGAATATTATCGTTATATCTACCAAAAACCATACTTAAGCCCTTTACAAGGCAACTTAGCAATCTTGGGGGCTCCATCCTGTAGCATACCACTGAGTTCTCTAGGGCTGTGACATTTCACGGGTTGTTAATAGACTCAGGTTGTCCACCGTTTACCTTTGCACCGCCATGGTAAGGAAGAATGGTAGATGATAGACACCAATGAGGATTTATGTGGCTTTATAGCCCCAATCAAACACAGACAACGGACAATACAATAATCCTAATCATAACCCCCAATGAGAAAAGAATAGTTAACATAACAAACTGAAGAAAACTAGATGGATGGCACGCACACACCTAGATTTCCGGCCTTTTTTGAGTGATATTTGGGTTTACCATTGTCCAGCTAAAAGTGAAACAAATTTCGCAGGGGCGAAGCAAATCAGCAAGCTCTTGTCCGGCCCGTTATTTGCTACATCCTCATGATATCCATGAATATCCCAAGATAAAACCCAGACCATGTGGCTCAACCAACTATCAGCCATGGTAATCCCACTGTAATCACATTATCATGCCATTATATGCCAGTTCAATCCAAGTTAAAAGCAAAGAACATGTAGTTTAAGCATTGAATCCTGTTAAATCCTATAAAACAACGTTTAATTCCATGAAATTCCATTCAACTAAATTAAACCACATTGAATTCCATAAAATACTATTAAATCAAATCCCATTAAATCCCATTAAATCCACTTAATGCTTCACCATCTTTGGCCTCAACAGCGCCCCGCGCGACCACGACAGGGCCCCAGCGAGTTGCGTGAGCACGGCGCCTCTTTTGCGATTGTGTCTTGGTAGAGCGGGAGAGCCAGGCTGAGCCAGGTGCAGGGCTTATTATCATCTTTCATCATTAGCAATAGCTGTAATATAATCTACCAGTATTTCGATGCTATTATCACCATTTGGTTATTTAAAAATCCATCATGAAAATCCATTATAAATGGAGGTTTTAATGGAAGGTGAGAGTCTTCGGTGGTGCCCCCTACAGTACAAGGTGGGGCCCCAGTTCGTTAGCTAAGTTGGTGAACATAACTCCAATATCACTTGAGTAAACATGGTAGGTCTACCGATCCTTAATGGTTGTGGTAGTTATAAACCAGCTTATGGTCACTGCGGGGGCACCACTCTGTACTTTGGAACGATTTCGGAAGTGTTTGATATTTCAGTAGGGGGCTGGGATCAGTTAGTCAGATGGGTCTATTAATTCACTTACAGTACTTGGTTCATCCCAGGAATCGTGCGTGGGTTAGTTCACCCCAGTTAGAAGTGAACATCGCCCCTACAAAACGCCCATTTATAATCAGGGTTATAAGCTACTTAGTACGGAGTGAGCCACCAAGTACAATTGAGGGAATGTATTATGGCCATAATATCTGGCTTATAGATTATTAATGGCTATAACTATGGAATGTTAGTGGGGTTGTACATTAATGGCTAGAACTATAGAATGTTAATCGTATAATCTTGGAATTATTAATGGCTATTACTCCTTGGTGTCTATCCCAGTTAGCAAGTAGGTTATAACCCTGATTACAGAAGTAGGGTTAGTTCACTTATAACTTGCTATCATCGTAGCAGCGTTAACTTAACTTTTGGATTTTCCAGGTCAGAACTGACCAAACCTGGTGATCAGAGCATGGCTGGATTTGACCTCATCAAAAAGTACTATCAAAAGTGGTGATTAGAGCATGGCTCGACTTGATTCCATCAAATTATAAATATCAAAAGAGGTGATCAGATTGTGGCACGAGTTGGTGTTGTCAACAGATGATCCAGACCAGGAGATCAGTGGGTAAGGAAATGAAGAAAAAAAGAGTGATCAAATTCATGAAAGAACCCTGGGCTACTCCTAACGGGGCTACTCATAAAACTTGCTATCCTTTCCCCAAAAAAAACGAGACAATTCCAGGAAAAAAAACATAAACAACATCTAAAACGTCGTGTGTCAAGGTCAAATCACGCACCAAAAAATTCCCCAGGTTGTCGCCGCCAAAAAATCACCAGAAAACCCTAGGAGTCTTAACGCTACCATGATCATTCCAACTTATAACTGGGGTTATAACACACTTACGATTTCTGGGATGAACCACCACGTATGGAATGCTAATGGGAATTTACCATGGCTCTAACTTTGGAATGTTTATTTGATTTTACCGTGAAACATGTTTTTTTATTGTTATAACTATGGAATGCTAATGGGATTTTTACAATGAAATATGTTGTTTTAATGGTATTGGGAATGGAAAGATAATGAGGATATTAGCCATTGCTGTGGTGATTCTTGAGGCTATAACTCCGGGATTTTAACTACCATGTTTGTCGGGATATGGGGCCGTTTTTTTTAATGTATACTGGGTGCGTTTGAAAATGAATGTGTGTAGTGTGATGTGTGTAGTGTGATTTGTGTGTTCTTTTAAGGCGGGCCACCAAGTAAGTCATTCAAAACACCAGCTTGGTGCTAGCTCCACGCTTGCCCGGCGCTAGGGTATTTCTTCATTATGGTATTTCTTTATTACTATTTTGGCTGCTAGTAATACTATTGTTACTACTTCTTCTACGTCTACTTCTGCGATTGCTGATGCTACTACTACTGCTACTACTACTACTGCTACTACTGCTACTGCTGCTACTACTGCTACTACTGCTACTGCTGCTACTACTGCTACTACTGCTACTACTGCCACTACTGCCACTACTGCTACTACTGCTACTACTGCTACTACTACTACTACTACTAGTAGTACTAGTACTAGTACTAGTACTACTACTACTACAACTACTACTCCTACTATTACTACTGCTACTACTACTACTACTACTGGTACTAGTAACTACTTCTACTAGTAACTACCAGTACTGCCACTGCTACTGTTATTGCTATTAGCATTACTTTTACCACAACTGTTTCTATTCCTAATGGTAGTACGCTGGAACTGCGCTTCCAAGCAGATGCTTCTGGTGCCATGGAACTGTGAAAATTTTGGAAATATATGGAAAACACATACTTTAAATGAATAGATACAACCTGGGATGGAAAAAAAAACAAGGGGCATACAATTTAGGTAAATGATGGCAACCGCATTTGACCTCACCATAGGTGATGATTAGTAGGGGAAAGCATCACCAAATTGTTTTAAATGTGGTTCACAAATGAACATAATGATTTGCCAAGATACCATCCATAATTTGAAATATAGATCATTAGAGCTAACGGGAGTTTTTTGATCACCACAGGTTGGTAATATCATAGTAAGTGGACAACCACCACATTGTAAGCCAGCTGCGAAATATCCCCAATGAAATGGATGGCTTATCAACCACTTATGATTTCCGAGGGGGCACGTCCACTTACTTTCCGGAAAATGAGTTGGAAGGCTGCCTGGAAATAACAAAGAGCGTCCGAATGGACAGCCTTAGCTACTGATGCTCCGTGGCATGCCTATGGTCACACGGATGAAGTGACTTGAACAGCGCATGGACATCGCCCGGGATACTATATAGAGGAAACTTCAAAGTCGAGCTGGACCGGACCGCAGCTGGCGGGAGTTTCGCCCGCAAAGCGGCCCAAAGGTTGCAAGCTGGGTTGCGTCAACCCATTCAAGGGCCTACACCATATTTCCTGCCCGAATGATGGGACACTTCTTGAAGACAAACTCGCTGCCCTTTGGTCCCACTTTTGAGGAGGTCGAGAAGTACACAAAAGCCATGGGGAAACCGTGGGAAACCCACAATCCCTAAAACTCACTGCGACGTGGGGGAGCAAAGGAACTGCGTATTAAGAGTTTCCCATTCACATGATAGACTTTACATGTTTTTGTTTTTTCAAGGGGGAAGGAGGTGGTGGGAGGGAAAAGGAATTGAAATGAGGCAGGCCTCAAGGCATATGTAATTTGTAATTGCTTCCAAACGCCAAAGGTTTGTAAGGTTGAGGCAGGTTTCGAGGCAGGCCGGTGAGCAAGTTCTCAATTCCTGGGCGGATTCTTTATAAATGGGTCAGAGATAGTTTAAGCCCATGGGGGGCGCTTGGGGACCATGCTTCGTAATGAGTTTGGCAAGTTAGGTGGCGGAACAGTGCTTTGAACTGGGTCAACCATGACGAACCTTGTGGAATGGTTGCCTACACTAGTAGCGGGAAAGATGAACCAAACTACCATCTAAAAAGACAACTTTCGCAAGGGATACCTAGAATCTATGTCCAGGCCTTCCTGAGTGTACGTGCTGATAATTGCCAATTTCCAGAGTCTTCTTGATTGAACCCCTTTCCAACCTCCGTCATTGTCCGGAAGCATCTCCTGGATCGATCCATTCTGGGGGCCGGCTTCCTATGGCATGGGATCCAGTGCTGATGATTTCTCCCCACCGACCCCATTGTTGCGATCCCTACAATGTGAGGCCCCCAAGATAGCGTTCAGTTGGTGAACATAAGTCCAATAACTATGGTTTATGGTCTTTATAACTATAGTTACCGGGGCTTAAAAACCAACTTATAACTAGGGGGCCCCACATTGTAATATTGATGTTTAAATCAAATCCCTTCATTGATTTCATTCAATGCAGACGTAACTTGATCATGGCGCATATCATCAGATCACCATTCAAAGATATCCAACCCCCTTTCGCTATAGATATTTCTACCATACACCCAATAGTTATATTATGTCATATTAGTCTAGCCACAGACTCTATCAATACAATCCCTATTGTTGATAGTGAAATTCCGTTACATCATATTAAATCCCAATGTTTTTTTGATTAAATCATCCATATGCCATAAAAATCCCACCGAGGAAAAAACCCGAGTGAAAATCCCATTGCCATCCCATGAAATCTTCATGAAATTTTCATTATACCCTCTGGTTATTTAACATAGCCATGGAAAATGGCCCATTTATAGATGGTTTGCCTATTAAAAATTGTGTTTTTCCATGGCTATGTTAAATAACCAGATGGTAATCCCTATAGCTAAATATCATCTCCGGGTTGCGAGGACCTCCTTTCGGGTCAGAAGACCGGGTGGTACTACGACCACCGCGACCATCGTTTGATGCTGGCGCAGTTGGCTTCACAGCTGCCCCGGGTCTTGGACGTGTACAGCTATGCGCCTAGGATGATCTATGCGTGGTTTCTGGGCCTGGCTGTGAATTGGTTGGTAAATGACTTTCGACTGTGCCATTTTGGGTTTAAACAAATTGCCAAACCAACTACTGTAGTAAATAATGATGCATGACTTTGTTTGTTTTTTCTTCCGGTTAGCTGCTTAGTATCTAGCGTCGAGGGTCGGCTAGGTCCCGGCTTCAGTTTGGGTACAGGGTTTCACTCTCTGGGATGATCCGCAAACTTAGTAATGTGGTTAAAACAATATAAACCATCCCCCAGACCATTTTTATAGGTGGTATGGAAATCCCATTCCCAGAAAAATGGGTGATTTTCACATGACATTGACCACATGATAAAAATTCTGCTCATCTCCATATCTTTGGTAAAAATCATCATTTTCCTATGGTTTTCCTATGGTTTTTCCAATGGTTTGGTTCGGGATACCTTGGGGATGAAGAACGAACTCACCACTTGCGTTGAGTTCGTCGGTCCCAGGAGTCCCAGCATGAGTCCCACCATGTTTGCCGGAAGAGGTCCCCAAACGATGGGAGTGAGTTTGGGTTGGATTTTGGATTTAGGATGGGTTTAACACACACACATATATATATATATATATCTGCGTAAATTTCATCACGACCGAACCCTGTTCTCCCGAACACTGGAATTATGGTTAGTAAGGGGAATCATCCCCAAATGGCCTTAATTCAGGTTTAACATATGGATGTGGGTCAAAATGGAAGACCTAGGGGACGAATGGGAACCACATATGTTAGTCTAGTTTAGTATTAACCATCCAATTATTGGGTTTAACAATGGATTAACTATTACTGTAATATTATTTAGTGGACATAACTAGTGAACCCATGTGAATCCAAAGATCAATATATGTTAATGATATTATCCCAGAATCCAAGAATCTATTGGATTGACTATTAGTTAATATATATATATATGTGTGTGTCGTAACTATTATTAACCATTAGTTTCTTGGATTCTGGACTATCCATTGAACATATTTGACTTCTGAGTTTTTTTCTGAGGTCGGCGGCTTTGGTGTTCTAATGGCACACTACGGCACCTCGGCTGGGTATTTTTGAGTGACCTCACGCAACGTGACGCCTGGAAGGCCCTGGAAGCCTGGTGAAATATGGTAATTTACCCGGAGTTGTTCTTGGGAAGATACTGCAACTACTCTTCCGTTGATGTTGGAAATGGATGAATTTTCAGGCAGTAAGTTGGGGATAGCATGGTGCAGCCGGTTTTTGGCAGCATCAAGCTAGAGATAATAGGGAGAACAGCTTGGTTCTTCCCCAGTATGCAGGTATTTGTGTGATCAGGAGTGGTAGATTTCAGTACCATAAGTAAGCAATAACTACTCAGGGGGATGGTTGCTATCATTATTTGGTGGTAATCATTGAGCCCCTTGGGCTGCAATCAATTCTAAGGCGCGGGCCTACCAAAAAGAAAGGTGTAACAAGCCTGCAATAGAGGCGATGGTTAGTGTTTTGTTTTCGGGGGTTGCAACTGCGACTGAGGAAACCTCCACATAACACTACAAAACCAGACATATAAAAGCGCATCATCCATATGAAACCATACAATATTGAACTATATAACCATATGATCCATATAAACGGATAACATTTCCCATACACACCATTTAAAAACCCATGTGAAACCATGATGAATTTCATTAAATCACTATAAAATCAATTAAATCCTATCAATATCCCATTAAATCAAATTAAACAGTACCTGTAAATTCCCTACAGTGATTTCTAAAAAAACAAAAACATTGGAAAACCTGTTTATATCAGTAAAACCCATTAAAACCCCTGTAAAATCCCTATAAAGCTCATTAACAAACTATAAAATCCATTTAATCCTATCAATTAGTTCATTAAATCATTATAAAAAGCGCATGTGAATTCCCTACAGTGATTTCTAAAAACCCATCTGTTCAAATCATTTGAAACCCATTAAATCCCATCAATATTCCATGAAATCATTACCCTCTGGTAAATTAACAGTTCGAGCCTGAAAATAGACAATTTTTGGCCGAAACCAGTCTTCCAACCCCGATGAATGCTAGGGTCGAACTGTTAATTTACCGGAGGGTATAACCCCCCAAATTTCCATATTGAATCATCTGGTTGGTTGTTTGGAACCATGGAATTTTATGACTTTCCATTCAGTTGGGAATGTCATCATCCCAACTGACTAATTTTAACCCCCCTAAAACTTCCCTATAAATCAGTCAAACCTATAAAATCCCTATAAAAATCCCGATAAAACCCATCAACATTCCATTAAATCATTAGAAAATCCCCTAAGTTTCCCTATAATATCCCTATCAAGCTCATTAAGCAACTATAATAACCCACATATGATGGGATTTTCCTGGGATTTGCATTTTCCCTATGGGATTTCCTATAATAAATTCCCTGTAAATCCCATTCGAAAACCAGCTTCTCCGAGCCGTTTACCGTTTCTCCGAGGTTCCCAAGAGGTGCTCTGCATCGACAGCAGCGAGGCGGCCTTGGAGCTGCTAAGGCGTAGCGCGGCGATGAACGCGGTGCAGGACCGAGTGAGGCGGAGCGGTGGAGCCCGGAGAATGGCTGCCGTTACAATGTGGGGCCCCCTAGTTATAAGTTGGTTTAGATTCAACCCAGTAACTATAGTTATAAATACCATAAACCATAGTGAAATTGGACTTATGTTCACCAACTGAACGCTATCTTGGGGGCCTCACATTGTATTGTTTATGGTTGATATATCTATACTTGAATAGGTGTAGAAACCATTTATAACTAGGGGGCACCACCTTGTTGCTGCGACTTGCTCTGGTTGCTAAAAACATGGACAACGATGATTTTTGGTGTGTTTACCCTCTGCAAAAGTCACATGGACATCATCATTCTAGATAAATCATTGAACTGGTTGGTGGTTTGGAACATTTGGATTATGACTTTCCATATATTGGGAATGACAATCCCAACTGACTTTCATATATTTCAGATGGGTTGAAACCACCAACAATCATTTTTCATAATCAAAAATCATCTATAAATGGAGAATGGGTGCTATGAATGGAAAACCATAGGAAAAGCATAGGAAAATTATGGAACAGAATAGGAAAACCAAAGGAAAATCATCTATAAATGGTCCTATGAATGGTTAATGGGTGCTGTCAATGGTTAGTGGTGCTATTGACTTAGGTTTAATGAGCCAGGTGCTAATGGTGATTGAATGGGATTTGTAGCTGGTTTGTGGTACTTCTAACTATTAATGGTTAAGGGTTATAAGGGATAAGTAGGGTTTATCCACTACTAACGGTTAACCCCTGGTAAATTAACAGTTCAACCCTGAAAATCCACCATTTTTGCTGGAAACTAATCTTCCAACCCCGATGAATGGCAGGGTCTATGTTAATTCACTGGAGGGTAGTGGTTAGTGCATCTTAAATCTCAATAATTTCCTCATAACTCGTGGTTAATGACTAATGGTTCGGGAATTTTGATTTTGAAGGGATTTTAACGGGAATAAAAACTATAAATCGTGGAATTAATATGATTTGATGGGATTTGGGTGCTTTTATGGTTATTAACAATGGTTGATGGCTATTCATAATGGTTAACAATGGTTGATTATCATGGTCAATGATTGTAGGGTGGATTCATATGGATTTTACATGTTTTTTTGATTTAAAATATGTGTTTGTTTTAATGTTTAAAAAAAATCATACTGGTGCTTAGTAGGGAATACTTACTAGGAATGCTTGCAAATAGTTTTGGATTAATCGTGTGAACTACCAGCAATCATCCCGCGACTCATCGTCTACTGATGCTAAGGGGGAGAATGGGATGATTGTTAATATCGATGTCAATAGCTATAAGTTATTAACGGCTATGGGTAGGATCTTAGATGGAGAATTTAATCTCTTGTTAATGATCGTGAATAACGATGGTGAATAACGATCCAATCCCGAACTCAAGTGATAAAGGGATGATTGTTACCCTCTGGTAATTTAACATAGCTATTGAAAATGGCCATTTATAGTGAGTTTTCCAATGAAACATGATGATGTTCCATAGTTATGTAACAGTTTACCAGAGGTAGTTGGGGAACGGGTGGCTTTCACGGTTTTTCACATTTTGGTAGTTGAGTGCCGATATTTGACCACTGATCTCACGGGCGAATAACGGTGGATATATAATCATCGATATATGCTATACCCTCTGGTAATTTGACATAGCTATGGAAAATCCACCCATTTTTAATAGGTAAACCATCTATAAATGTACCATTTTCCATGGCTATGTTAAATAACCAGAGGGTAAGCTGCTGTAACTTGCTGAGGAAACTAATTTTAATTGATAGCATTACTTGCAGGAGTTATAGTCACACCAATTAATATTTAGGGTCACAACTGCAGTTTCTTTCATTCATTTTTTCTGAGAAACCTTTGTAGAACTCGGGGAACATGTTCTTTATTTAGATGATGATCTTCCCAATTCAAAGCACTAATTTTAGGGGATTCCCATTGCCATATACAAATATAAGTATACCTGCTTGGTGGTTTGGAACATTTTATATTTTGCCATTCAGTTGGGAATGTCATCATCCCAACTGACAAACTCATATTCTTCAGAGGTGTAGGTCAACCACCAACCAGATTATTCTTTGTAATCAGAAATCATTGCTATAAATATGGATGATGATGATCTTCCCATTCAAAGCACTATTTTTAGGGGACTCCCATTGCCATATATAAATATAAGTATACCTGCTTGGTGGTTTGGAACATTTTATATTTTGCCATCCAGTTGGGAATGTCATCATCCCAACTGACGAACTCATATTTTTTCAGAGGTGTAGGTCAACCACCAACCAGATTATTTTTTGTAATCATAAATCACTGCTATGCATATGGATGATGATGATCTTCCCATTCAAAGCACTATTTTTAGGGGATTCCCATTGCCATATAATATAAGTATACCTGCTTGGTGGTTTGGAACATTTTTATATGTTGCCATTCAGTTGGGAATGTCATCATCCCAACTGACGAACTCATATTTTTCAGAGGTGTAGGTCAACCACCAACCAGATTATTCTTTGTAATCAGAAATCCTTGCTATAAATATGGATGATGATCTTCCCATTCAAAGCACTAATTTTAGGGGATTCCCATTGCCATATACAAATATAAGTATACCTGCTTGGTGGTTTGGAACATTTTATATTTTGCCATTCAGTTGGGAATGTTATCATCCCAACTGACGAACTCATATCTTTCAGAGGTGTAGGTCAACCACCAACCAGATTATTCTTTGTAATCAGAAATCCTTGCTATAAATATGGATGATGATCTTCCCATTCAAAGCACTATTTTTAGGAGATTCCCATTGCCATATATTTTAGGGGTTGGTAACTCTCCCATTTTGGGAATATTGGACATCACCTTATAGTAGCCATTATAGTCTTTTATAGACCATAGACCTAATGGTTGGGTGATGTTCAATGGGGACATTTCATGACCCATGTATTTGGTGGTTTGGGAATTTTTTATTATCCACTTCTATAAACAAAATCCTCATAATTCATATTTGATGACCAGAGGCATCTCGATGCACCCACTGGGCATCAACTCGTCGTCCGCTCGGCGCACAGGTCCTTGCGCACCGACGCTCTGGACTTTCTGCAGGCACCAGGGCGCCCATGGAGCCCAGGGAGCCCACGTTTTGTCATAGAAAAGGAACCGACCCGGCCTGGTAAACATAGAAAAAGCTATTGAAAATGGCCGTTTATAGTGAGTTTCCACATAAAAAATGGTGATTTTCCAGTATGTAAACGTTTACCAGAGGGTGAATTGGAGGTACCAACCATATATAAGGCCTATATAAGACCTATGTAAGGGAATATCCCAAATATGGCCAGAAATATGGCCAGAAATATGGTACAGTACCTCCAATTTAGGAACCTTTTTTTATTTCCATTGACATTGCAGATATGTTACGCATCCAAAATTGTCACGAAGAATCAAGGGGGCTATGATGGGCTATGAGAAATGAATAACTCGTCCCAACTAATTTGTTGTGGATCCCTCGTTTTCCATGACCAAGCTGTAGGTTGTTTATGATGTATTTTACAATGCGTGGAATGACACAGAAAAAACTCGCCGCCACGGAATCTACAAAAACAAATCGCAGATGATATGACTAGATGCGGCCATTTGGTGGATTTAATGTCAAAAGAAGAAACAAAGAACTCAGGGCTTCCACTAAGAACTAAGAACGGGCTCTGTTTGTCAAGTGCCCAGATCGTTACATGCCGAGCTGTTCGCAGAAACATGCACTGTGCATGGGTCCCACATCAGAAATTCCCATGTTTCTTGCTGTAACTGTTGAGTTTCATTTTTTGAATTCTAATTCAACAGTGGAACCGAAGCAACACAGCAGCGAACCGCTTTGTAGGAGAAGATGAAGCAGAAAACCGATGCAGCGGGCATCGGTGAAGCAGATCATGAGTTTGACCTCGTGCGACTTGGCTGCGCTGCGGCGAGATGGTGATCGCAGTCCTGTGAGGTTGATGAACATTTGGATCAACTGTGGATTGGGTTGATCCTATATATATTTTCATAATAATTATATATATAGGTTATAATAGCTTAAATTAAATGCCAGTGAAATCGCGTTGTGTTTTAACATGTTTAATCTTCTGACAGTTCACTATCTACCAACACATTTGTTTTGGGTTTTATATTTACTATATTTTTTTTGTGAGGTACCATCATTTTTTCCCATGAATTAGACACAACATTTTGTGGGTATGGTATGCATCATCTTGAGACAAAATGTGCTTGAAGGAGGTCCTTGAGATTTAGCTAGCATCTGGTTTTCACAGCCTCAAAGTTGCAGAACTCGGATTTGTTCAACTCGTGTTTTACGGAATTGCGATGACTCGATTCGAACTTTCTTATGGTTTCGGTTTCATGGGTGGTTTCATGCCTACCCAGGGGGTGATGTCAGATGTCACCCCGGCCGGGCCTGGCCCCAAAACAGGATTCTGGATCCGCCCAATCTGGGCGTGGATCGCATGAGTATCCCGAAGGCGCCTTTTCGAGCGGTGCTGCTTAGAACAGCTGAGTTGTGCTGAGAACAATCAATGGCAATATATGATGGTCAGAAAACGTTCTTCTAACCAAATTCTCCATGGAAGTTTTGTAGATATACATGGTACAAATGGGCACTTACTGGAATGCAGATCCTGAATAATACACTGATTGGTGGTTTGGAACATGAATTTTATGTTTCCATTCAGTTGGGAATTTCATAATCCCAACTGACAAACTTATATTTTTCGGAGGGGTAGGTTTTCCACCAACCAGTATATATGGCAATGTGAAATTCCCAATTGTTCTTGTCTTATTTTTGATTTTCTGTTTCTTTTTTGTTGCGATTTTTTGGCTTTTTTTTGCCTAAGGCATGTTGCAGGAAAGAAGGACACATGAAAGCTGAGATGGTCTTCCAAATCTCCAGTCTTTGCGACCACTCTGGGCAGTTTCTTCAGTTGATTAATGTGGGACCCACCCAATGCCATAATGGCCATAATGTGTACGGACATTATATAGTAGGATAATACTGATGCTAATCTAGGATAACAGAGGGATAATAATAATAATACATAATAAAATAATAAGAATATATTATTGTTTTATATTGTTTTAAATTATTATACAGGACAATTATGCAGGACATCTAGCATAAACCATCCCCAAGTTCGAGGTTTTTTAGTAACTTGGGTATACCCCTAGCAATGGGATATTCTAAACTGTCCCCTGGTCCTGGTTAATGGGATGGTTCATGGCAGTGGGTATACCAGTGGTTTATGGAAAATCCACTATAAAAAACTATGGAAACTCACCATTTTTACTGGGTAAGCTCACTATACATGGCAATGTTCTATAACATATATTATTTATAATCAATGGGAATCAAAAAGGATCCTGAAATGGAGGTACGTTAGTACCATATTTCTGGCCATATTTTGTGGGGATATTCCCTGAAATTTAGGCCTAAAACATAGGCCCAACATATATGGTAGGTACCTCCAATTTAGGTTCCTGAGATGGCCATTGAATATGGTCCAGCATGTTTGGCAGTTTGCTTGATGTTTACATGTTTAAATCCCTGCTGTATCCCCACTTAAACGTACTTAAACCCTTTGACAACCCCATGAAGAGTCATCTGTTCTTGCTGCGATGTTTACCACATGTCAAGGAAATTAAACCTTGGATGGTTAGTTAGTACAACTCAACCTTTCACTATAAATGGGAAATGAACGTATGTAATATGTATCATTTACTATCAGCACTATTTTTAATCATACATGTTACTGTTACATGATATCCAACACTGGCAATGGACATTCTGTGGAACATTCTGCATGTTTACTACATGTGATATCATTTGATCATACCTTTCATCACAAATTCAACATCTTGTTTTAACCACATCTTAACCACATCAACCAAAGACGTTCTTATACATAGTCAAACTATATTTGACTACATGTCACCATGAACTGGAAACACAGATACTATATTTGACTACATTTCACCATGATAAACACCATGGGTTAATCACCACTATCCATATTGAAATTGATTGTTATTTCAGGGGTATACCCCATTTTCACAGCCATATGGAGGTTTCCTAAAATGTGGGTACCCCCAACTTATCATTTTTAGTAGAATTTTCCATTATCAACTATTTCGGGACACCACCATTTATGGAAACCCCCATTTTCCATTTCAAGATGTTCAAGGCAAAAACTAAGTTGGGTTAAAATGGGCTAAACTACCTATCCAATTGGTTGGGGATGAATCCCTAAGCCCTGACAGTACGTGGAAATGCACATCGCAGTTAGAGGTTCTTCTAACCAATTTTTCCATGGAAAATTTGTAGATATAAATGATATAAATGGTCTTTTTTTGGCACTTACTGGACTGCAGATCCTTAATACTACACTGATTGGTGGTTTGGAATATGTTTTATTTTTCCATTCAGTTGGGAAGAATCATCCCAACTGACTTTCACTCCATCATTTGTCAGAGGGGTGGGGCTCAACCACCAACCAGAAACAACCAGAAAATCAAGTCCTGTTTTTCGCTATGTTTCCAGCAATCATACAAGGTGGTGCCCCATAGCTAGCTAAGTTGGTGAACATAACTCCAATAACTTGGGTGTATGGTAGATATATTTATACTTAATGGGAGTTATAAACCAACTTATAACTGGGGGGACACCACCTTGTACATATCCCAGAAACATCCGGACTCCGCCGCCCGGAACATCGCCATTTTAGGCCCTGCGACACTACGAGAAGTTGGTCACCTCGGCGGCAAGGCTGGTGGCGCCCAACGGACTGCTCTTCGTGGCGTCCTGCACCTACTCCATAGGTGGGGTGCCGGATTGGTGCCGGATTTTTTCCGGGATGGAAATCCTGTGAATTTTACCCGGCCTGGGAAACGTTCACAGTTTGTGAACTGGAAAATCACCATGCTATGGGAAAACTCACTATTTCTATGGCCATTTTCAATAGCAAACTGTTAGTTTACCAGAGGGTATGCCAAAAAAAATGGAAGTTGTAGTGGAAATTCATGATGAAACCATGGGAAAATCCGAAAATCGGGAAAATCATTGGGATATCCAGGTTTGAAAGAGATGTTTTAATGGAAACACGATGGTCACTATGGTAAGATAGAAGGGAAAATAGAGGATAACCCAACAAAATAGACGTTTAAATGGGAGAAAACCATTGGAAAGTCATGGGGGGTCTTGCAGCCAGTGGTTAATGACCTTGGATTTCTATGGAACAATACTTATTAATGCTCATATATAGCCATGAATCAAGCTACAAATTGACTTTGAGTTTCCCAATCACATGCTAGTTGAGCATTGGTGGTTTACCCTCTGGTAATTTAACATAGCTATTGAAAATTACCATTAATAGTGGATTTTCCCATTAATAGCATGGTGATTTTCAATAGCTATGTTAAATTACCAGAGGGTATATCCCCATGAAATCCCATGAAATCCCATCAAACACCATTCATCTCATTAAATCCGGCGGTCATGCGCTTAGTGTTGTAATGGTTTGTGGTTTCATCAAATGACTTGCCCAAGGTTTTGACAGATGAGCTGACTGCTATCAAGTCATTTAAGTTATTTAGTTGGTTATAGTTCTTATCTTGTCACTTTTGATACCCAGTTGTCTAGTTGTTTAACTTACTTTTTGGTAACCAAACGTGCGTAAAAATCCATGACACATTATACATACATATATATATATATATATAGAGGTGGATGTTTCTAGCCATGGATGGATCGTTTTGGAGGCAGCCACACCCCGAGGAAGCCGTTTCTCAGCAATTTCAGATGAAAAAGGTCAGTGAAAAGGACCATCGCCTGCCGAAGCAAAGATCAAGCCCAGACAGCGGCGAAGATGCTGTTTGAGGATTTTATGAAAGGATTGCGAACTTGCCGGATTTCGACAGGAATTGCGGGAATGTGTTGACAAACAGAAGAAGATGAAGGCGGCACAACGCTTAGCTTTACTGTACTATGAAGCCTATGATGATGAAGATTGGTATGGGGGACCGGAGGGCATCTAATTAGCTGATTTTTTCTTAGTTTCCCACTCATGACTGTTGCCCACTTATAACGTTTGTTGTTTGCCATTTAGATATCTAGTCATAGTCATTTAGTAAAGCTTATCTTACTTATCATCGTTTAGTTTTATCATAATGTGAGCTAGTCATTGATTTTCATCATTCATTGTTGTAGTGATTAACTATCATTACTGGTTGGTAGTTTGGAACATGTTTTATTTTTCTATATATTGGGAATGTCATAATCCCCACCGGCTTTCATATATTTCGGAGGGGTAGGGCTCAACCACCAACCAGATTGCTGATTTATAATGGGATACCCTCTGGTAAACATACAAAAAACTATGGAACATCACCATTTTATAGCTGGGTAAATCAACTATTTCTATGCTAATTTCCCTTTGGTTCCTTTGATGATCCGTGGATCCTCCAAATTTTGGATTGCGAGCTCAGCTGAGTGAGTTGCTAAGTTCACCGTTTCTTAGCGAACTAAATCACACTCCGCGGAAAAATCCCAGTTAAATCGATAAGTCCCATCAAATCCCACAGGGTGGTGCCTCCCAGTTATAAGTTTATAATCCCATTACTGGTTGGTGGTTTGGAACATTTGGATGATTATGACTTTCCATATATTGTAATCATCCCAACTGACGAACTCATATGTTTCAAGATGGTAAAAACCACCAACCAGATTAAGTATTGGTATATCTACTGTAAACCCAAGTGAAATTGGAGTTATGGTTCACCAACTCAGCAAAACCTGAAATCCCATGAAAAATCGTCCGTTTATAACCAGGGATATAACCCACTTAGTTATAGGTGGATAAGCCACCAAGTAACCATTAACCCTTAATCAAAAATAGTTATAAGTACCATGGTAACCATAGTGGAATTGGAATGACATGTTCACCAATTTAGCTGTCATCAACTAGCTTAAATCACCATTTTCCCTATGGTTTTCCTATGGTTTTCCCCAAAGCGGCGAGGTGAACGTGAGTTGATGGGCCTTTGCAGTCGCTCACTCGCCTGGGCGGAGCGGGACTATCGTTTGGTCAGCACTGGGAGCCAGGCGAGTGGAGAAACGTGGAACGAATTTCTGGCCGGAAACGACCAAATTGGCAAAGTTGGGCCATAGTTTTGGCAGCAAAATTGTGAATTCATAGGATTTCAATGGGATTTCATGGGATTTACCCCCTGGTTATTTAACAATATTTAACATAGCCATGGAAAATGGCCCATTTATAGATGGTTTACCTATTAAAAATGGTGATTTTCCATGGCTGTGTCAAATAACCAGATGGTAAATGGGATTTTAATATATGACTTGAATGGGATTTCATGGGATTTAGTTCTCTGACTTGATTTGGTAAATTCCATGGCTTATGGTTGGACAACCATGTCCCGGTAATACGAGGCTGTTTGAACCAAGTCATAAAAGCCAACATAAAACACCCAGAAGTTACTAAGACCTCACTATTCACCAAATTTCACCAAGGTTTACTACAATGCAGTGCCCCCAAATGATATCTATGCATTTTTTTTGAAAGTTTCCCTAGGCCTAAGGCCGGATAGACTGACCGGTGGCTTCGCTAGGCTGCAGACCATCCAGGACATTTGATGCTTCCGGAGTCTCGCTATCTACGGGCGCTGCTGCTGCATTTGTTTTGAAAAGATATCGCGGTTGCGGCTGTGGTGATCATTTTTAATGGGAAAACTCACTATGGAAAATCAAAATTTTTTACTAGGATATATATCTGGTTGGTGGTTTCAAACATGAATTTTATTTTCCACAATATATGGGATAATCCTTCCCATTGACTGTCATATTTTTTCAAGATGGGTTAAAACCACCAACCAGCAATTTGTTTGAAGTGGAACTTTCCCGGTATCCTGGCTTGGTTTATGATAATTCATGGAAATTAACCATAGCTGTAGGGATTTCACATTCTTGAAATTGACAGGGAAAATGGTTTTTCTGGCATGGCAAAATGCAATTTCTGCCTATTTGAAGATTCCCTGGGACATTGCCAGGAGCTGGTGAATCGAAAACATGTTAGAGTCATTGCTGAATTCCTGCCTCAATTCAATGGCCATGCAACAGGAACCGATTGATTGGAGGTACCGATTCCATATATGTTGGGCCTATTTTTCAGGCCTAAATTTCAGGGAATATCTCCAGAACATATGGCCTTATATGGTACTAACGTACCTCCAATTTAGGATCCTGGAGATCTCCCATTGATCAATCTTTTGCCGATTTACAAACCAGCTTGGTCAAAACATGCCATGGATCGGTGGATGGAATGGCTAGGCGATTCCCGGGCTTCCCCACCAGGGATGCCACAGTTTTTGGCCAGAGACGTCCATCGAATCTCCTTCTGTGTTATATCAAAGACCCCTCACTGTATGGTCCTCCCAAATAGGTGTTTCTATCCCCCACTAAAGCGTGGTTTCTGCGTGGTGTTGAGGGCCTAGGGCGAAGGGAAGCACAGGGCCCTGATCGACCCATCAAAAAAGGTGATTTCACATGAAATCCCATTCTATCAAGCAGTATCCAATAGCATCCAATAGCTAATGTGGATATGATATGATTTAATCCCATTGTTAATTCCCAACCCCTTGCGGCATTGTATCTGTGATGGTGTGGGAAACCAAAAGAAGGTGTACCCCATTCATTTCTCAGAAAAATTGAGAAGTGTAACAGTCTTGTTGGCTTAGCATGGCCACTTTGCGCGTTCGGATGACATGCACCACATCAGACAGCCTGGGGAAACTCAGTATCCGCCCTAGCTCAAATCACTGGGTGGCGGTGGGAAAACCCTACAGGACACCATGTTTTTCCCCGTCAAATCCGTGGGTGTCCATAGCTAGAACTGCTTGGTCGTGACTGGAACCATGGAATTTTGAATGACTTTCCAGAAACAGTTGGGAATGCCATCATCCCAACTGATGAACTTCATCATTTTTTTTCTGAGGGGTAGGTAGGTCAATCACCAACCAGAAATGATAATAATTACTCATAATAGTTACCCTCTGATAAACATACAAAAAACTATGCAACATCACCCTGCTTTTTTCATGGGTAAATCAACCAGAACATCAAGTCCTGTTTTTTCGCTATGTTTCCAGCATTTTACCCGTAAGCTGCATGAAATCCCATCATTTGGTGACCTCCCAGAGCTAAGTCGAGCGACTTGTCCTCATGCTTGGGACCCAAGTGTTAAACGTCCACCATGTTCACTTGAAATCAATCGCCATGGGAAATGCCATATTTTTTCAATGCCAACTCCGAGTTGTGTTCTCCAATAAGTCCGAAAATTGCCATGAAATCCCAGGAAATTATCATGAAAATCCCATTTTATCCGCATTTCCCCAGCTTTTTGGTTGGCATTTTGACATGGCCAGGGCCGTTGCTGGAAGCCTTAGCCGCGCAGATCCAGCAGCGTTTCTCTGCGGATCACTTGAGGGCGCCTCACCTGGCACAGGCGGATCTTGGAAGACCATGCCATGAATGGGATATGACGACTGGGATTTATTGAACAAATGATTTGTATATATATATATATGTATATACATACGGGATACTGGTTGGTGATGTTTAATGGATGACTGGTATAACGGTATAACCAAGTAAATTTTAATACATTTAATTTAAAATTTTATTACACACATATATATATATAATCAGTAGGAGATACCACCTCTTAGCTGGCTGGTGGGTTAAAGCTTTATGGAGGGCAATGTGGAAATGAAACAGCAGATGAAGCCTTCTCGTTTCGGAGTGTGAGAGTTGCGCTGACCATGGCTTCGGGCTTCGGTCGGGAGTGTGCAACATGGGAACATCCAGGTGGTGAGCCTTGTCCGAGCCTGAAATCACACGTCAGTGGGATGAACACCATGGAAGCTTGGAATGGCATCACAAATTAATTGAAATCAGGTCTGACAGGTGCAAACATTGCCGGAGCGCCATTTGGAGCTGGAGCCATTGCACAAGTTGGAGGAGGTGTTCCGCCTGGTGGTTCTCCTGCTGGAGCGGGTGCGCTCATTCCGCAATGGGCCTCCGCCCACTCCACAAGATCTTCCGAGTCGCTACGACTTTGTCAATTTCTTGACCAATTACGTAGCTCAGACATCTAGCATGTCCAATCTTGTGGAAGCGAGGCAATTCATGCTGTCGCGGCTCTTCGGAGTGCCTAGCAATGTCTTTGGATCAGGAGGTTATCCAGTGTCGAGATATGAGAATGCTCAAGATGAAGTTGTGGCGCAAGCTCGAGAGCAACATGAGGCAATTGGAAATTACATCGATCACTATAACAACCCCCGGGTCTTGCGCCATTTTGCTGGGTGAGATTTCATGGGATGGGGCGGACCTCGGGGGCGGCACTAAGGGTTTGTTCCCGACGAGCACCCCCATCCCTCTCCCACGCCGGTGCAAGAGTGACAGTGCCGCGTTGGCTGCTGAAGAGCATTTAATTGCTCTTGGCTTTCTGCGCGCTGTTTGGTCGTTGCGGTGGGCGTTGCGTTTCGCGCTTCCAGGCTTTTGTCCACAGCGGTTGGTGTTTGTCGCTGGTTGTGGTTGGAGTCTGTCTTTTAATGTTTTGGGGCTTCTGCTCCTCCTGGGGTGCCTTTTTTTTTGCTGTTTTGGTGGACCTGCCCCTTGTGTTGTGTTTCTTTTCCTCTTGGTGCTGTGGTTGGCAATGGTCCTTTGATGCTGGTCACTGCTATTGGTGTTTGTCTGCTGGGCTGTTTTTCTTTCTTTTGGTGGTTGTCTGTTGGCGCTTGGGGGGCTTCTGCCCGCCTGGGGTGTTCGTCTTCGTTGGCGTTTGTCTTGTAGCGTTTGTCTTTTTGTGCTCTGGGGCTTCTGCTTTCTCTTATCCAATTGCCCTCTGCAGCTTCTGCTCATGGTTTGTGTTGCGTTTTGCGCTTCAGGTCTTCTTCTTCTTCCTCTTCTTCTTCTTCTTCTTCCTCCTCTTCTTCTTCTTCTTCTTCGTCTTTTTTCTCTTCCTTTTTCCTTTTCTTCCTCTTCTTGGCTTTCTTCTTCTTTGGCTGTCTGTGTTCTCTGTGGTCTCCTTCCTGCTTCCCTTGCCTGGCATTGCCTGGTGTCTGGCCTTCCCTTGTGCTTGGTTTGGTCGGCCCTCCTGACCTCTTTTAATTGTTGTTCTTGTTTTGTCCTCAATTGTGTGGGGTCACCTGGCGGTGGTGACCGTGCTGGCGGTGGTGGTGGTGGTGGTGGTGGTCGGCGTTTGCTCGCCTTTGGTGTATGGCCAGCGTTTGTTCGCTGGCGTGGTGGTGGTTGGTGTTTGTTCGCCTTTGGTTTTGGTGTGGTTGGTTGGTGGTCGGCGTTTTTCTCGCCTTTGGTGTGAGGCCAGCGTTTGTTCGCTGGCGTGGTGGTGGCTGGCGTTTGTTCGCCGTTGGTTTTGGCGTGGTTGGTTGGTGGTGGCGTTTGCTCGCCTGTGGTGGCCCCGTGTTTGCTCGCTGGGTAGGTGGTTGGCGTCAGTTTGCCTTGGTTCAGGCATTGCTGCAGGTTTCGTAGTTGCGTGTCATGGATATGCTGCCTGAGATGCTGTCCCTGGGTCTTGCTGGTGCTGGCGTCCTGGCTCTTTCTAAGTGGTGTTATGTGTTGCTGAAGTGGCGGGTTTGCTACCACGTGCTCCCCTTTGTAGGCAAGGTGTCGGAAAGTGGCCTGTCCTTTTGAAGAAGTTGGTTGAGGGCTGGCTGGGAATCTCACGTTGCCTAAAGTGGCACGGCGTTGCCCGTGATTGCAGTGCAGGGCTTGACTTGTGCTTGGCTAAAAGGGTACCCGGTCGCGGTTGGAGATTTTAACTCGTTAGTGTTACTGTTAGTGGCTCTTTCGGATTGTTTGGGGTATTCTTTTGTTTTGCGTCCTTTCTCTCTTGTTCCTGTTTCTGCCCTAGAAGGCCACCAGAAGCTTGCGGAGAGGGCAGCTATGACGTTTCCGGAGCTGACCCTGAGATCTGCTGGTGGAGGTTGTGCCGGTGGACCACGGCTACTGCTGTGAGTCGTTCAACCAACCAACCATATAATACATTTATTTTTATTACATATATATATATATAATAAGTAGGAGATACCACCTCTTAGCTGGCTGGTGGGTTAAAGCTTTATGGAGGGCAATGTGGAAATTATTATCATCCGGTAAACTAACAGTTTGCTATTGTAAATTGCAATTTATAGTAGATTTTCCCATGAACAATGGTGATTTTCCATAGTTATGTTAGTTTACCAGGAGGGCACACACATATATATATAACATTCTATTCTACATATATATATATATATAATATTCTAGTAATTATAAAGTCATGGGATATGCATTTATATATATATAATGTTCAGTTGGGAATGTCATAATCCCAACTGACGAACTCATATTTTTCAGAGGGGTTGAAACCACCAACCAGGATATGAGTTTGGTAAACTAGCAGTTTGCTATTGAACATTGTCATTTAGTTCGTTGGTTTACCCATTCTTTCCATGGTGGTTGTCCATAGTTTTTTGTATGTTTACCAGAGGGCAACCATTGGGTCTTCATCGTAATTTTCATGTATGGGATCCACCCAACGCCATAATGGGATATTAGTATAGGATATTACCCTTTGGTAAACGTTTACATAGCGAACTGGAAAATCACAATCTTTAATTTAATAGGTAAATCAACTATTTCTATGGGCCGTTTTCAATAGCTATGTTAAATTACCAGTGGATTCATAGATATTCATAGATATTCATAGATCATGTTCCTGGGAGTTTACAAGGCTTGTTGTTTTCCATACCTATAATAAAGTGCGGGATATCACATAAAATAAGTGGCTTGTGCCATGATTATCACTACCTGGGATGTCCAAGTAGGGTAGTTTCCATCAAAAAGCTCGATATAATACCATAAACCCAGCAGTTTCACTACTTCAAACAAACTTAGAATCCAAAAACGTGATATAGTACACTGGCACATTGTAGATTCCTGCAAAAATTATACTGGTTGGTGGTTTCAAACATGAATTTTATTTTCCATTTCATATATGGGATAATCCTTCCCATTGACAAACTCATATTTTTCAAGATGGTTATTGCACCACCAAGCAGATAATCATTTTATAGCAATCATTTTAACCTCAACTATATTTAAAAAAAAAACTATAATCATTTGGTGGGTTAATGGTGATTCAATGTGGTTGAAACTATAAATGATTATAAATGATATCAAAACGTAACTATGGAAAATCACCATTTTGAATGGGAAAATCAACTATAAATCACCATTTTCCAGTTCGCAAACTGTTAGTTTGCCAGAGGGTAATTATGGATTAATCACCATTTTCCTTTTTGGTTTTCCTATGGTTTTCCTATGGATTTATTAACCATTAACAATTAAAGTCCACCATTAAATCACCATTTTCTTATGGTTTTCCTATGGATTTCCTATGGATTTGTTAACCATTAACCACTAACTCATAGAATTGGATGATGGGAAAATTTTAACCGGAAAGCCCTATATTTGATGGTACAAACCATGGTTTCCGGTTAAGATTTTCCCCAACAAACCAATCCATTGACTAAATCACCATGAAAATCATGGATTAATCACCATTAAATCACCATTTTCCTATGGTTTTCCTATGGTTTTCCTATAGATTTATTAACCGTTAACAATTAAAATCCACCATTAAATCACCATTTTCCTATGGTTTTCCTATAGATTTATTAACCGTTAACAATTAAAGTCCACCATTAAATCACCATTTTCCTATGGTTTTCCTATGGTATTCCTATAGATTTATTAACCGTTAACAATTTAAGTCCACCATTAAATCACCATTTTCCTATGGTTTTCCTATGGTTTTCCTATGGATTTATTAACCATGAACCACTAACCATTTTGTATCCCTGAAAAAAATCACTCGCCCAGCCGGCTCCGAAGATCTGTGCGGCCTATTGCCACGCACGCTTTCTGGACTCGCGGCACATGTCCGAAGTGGTGGCTGTGGCCCGGATCTCACTGCAAGAGGTGCCGGGGTACCCGGCCTGGTAAACATACAAAAAGCTATGGAAAATCAATGAAAATCACCTTTTTGAATGGGTAAATCCACTATAAATCGCCATTTTCAATAGCTATGTTAAATTACCAGAGGGCATTTGTGTCCGGATTGCCATTGAAACATAGAATGCGTGGCCTCCCAGTGGTAAACTGTTGTAAAAATTGATCTGTATATTTTATGAATGCTATAGGTATAAGTACCATGAACATCCATAAACCATAGTTACAGTTGTTGGAGTTGTAAACCAACTTAGCCATCTAGGAGGACCCACTTTGTAGCCTTGTTGATTGGTCATTACAGGGAGTTAGACTACCTGGGTTGGGGGGATTACTGTCACCGTAGGGGCACCTATCAACCAACTCGTATAGCGAGATGGGATAGGGGTGTTTTCAATGGCTGATTTTGGCGTTGGAGTGGATTCAGAGGTATGTTCAAATCATTTTAGAGGCAGACATGACTTGACTTCATCTGAGCCAACTGGAATTAATCATCAAAAAGGCTGTAGATCATCAATATCAACAAACATGGTGATATGTCCAGAAGAAAACGGGATATTAGAGTCAACCTTGGATGGGTAGTTTGGTATTGCAACTTTGTTGCTATCAATGGGAACGTGTAGAAACAGCTTAAAATAAGAAACACAGGGTGCCGAAGTTTGGTCGTGACAAATTCAACCGCAATTCTTGAACCTCAATTTTCTGTCATGGCAAGTTCGTGACCGGTGTTTTCCTTCTTGTGGCAAAAAATGAAAATCAACTAGCTAGTTTTTTTGGTGTGTTGGTCTTGGCATAAGATTGGCAACGTGTGTCTTTCCGCGAAATTGTGGCTTTGTGTATGCTTTAGTCTTAGTCAAAGGTGGCCCGTGTAACAGCCCAACATTCCACTACTGTGCACATCATACCCTCTGGTAAACTAACATAGCTATGGAAAATCATAATTTTTCATGGGAAAATCCACTATAAATTTTACAACATGGAAGGGTGCATATCCCAGCGCCCAACTCACACACGGTCAACAGGATATCTCAGGCCGTCTATGGCATGGATAGCCCAAAAAATGGATAGTGAACAGTTTTCTGTTGACTATATTTTGTCGGCCCTGGTGGGTACATACCCGTATTCACATGTTTCTTGTCTAACGCCTGATTTTGATTGGTTCTTAATTCAACCCGAACTGTGTGTGAATTCTCATGACTTCATGGCTGCAGCTTATCCAAGATGTTGATGAACTCCTGTCAAATCGCTATTCTGGTTGGTGGTTTCAAACATACATTTTTTTAATTTTCCATTTCATATATGGGATGTCATCCTTCCCATTGACGAAGTCCATCATTTTTCAAGCTGGTGAAATTGCACCACCAAGCAGCTAATCATTTTATAATAATCATTTAAACCTCAACTATATTTAAAGACTATAATCATTTGGTGGGTTAATGGTGATTCAATGTAGTTGAAGCTATAAATGATTATAAATGAGATCATAACGTAACTATGGAAAATCACATTTTTTAATGGGAAAATCAACTATAAATCACCATGGGCTAATAGCTGTGATGCTAAGTTTCAAATCTATGGATGAACTCCTTAGATTTGCTGTGATTCTCATTGATTCTGATTCACAAAATCCCCGATCTGAGGCGGCCAATCCAACAGCTACCCTCGACTGAAGCTACCCGGTCTGGTAATTTAACGTAGCTATTGAAAATGGCCATTTATAGTGGATTTACCCATTGAAAATTGTGTTTTTCCATAGCTTTGTGTATGTTTACCAGAGGGTACCCTCTAGTAATCTGTTGCAGTTTGCGAACTTGAACATGGCCCAGTCGAAATAGTTGATTTACCCAGCTATAAAATGGTGATTTTAACCATCGTTTTTTGGAAACGTTCACCAGGCCGGGTACTACTGGGAATCATGTTTCAAACAGGATTGGTTCTACTGGAACAAAGAGGAACCCCAAATGGCTGTGATAGGAAAATTAAGAGGGAGTTGTCTCTTGATTTTCCCAAAACATCATTGGGCAAATCAGTGCAAATCATCCCATTCAAGGCCGCAGTGAGATCATTGCCTTAAATCTGTCCAACCTAAGTATGTTCACCAACTTAGCTATCATAAATCGCCTAGAATTCCATCGAGATCATCAATTTCTGACTGAGTTAGATCTTAAAATCCCACATATATCCCAATTTTTTCATATTTGTCTTGGTGAAATTGTCCATTTTTCCTTGGTTCAATCTCCCCCTCTTTCTGACAGCGTCGGGCCAGGCGCTTCCCTTGGAGCTCACCTGGCTAGCGCGTGCTGCCATGGACGCGAGGGCGGATCATGCGCAACTGCTACTGAAGGAGGTGGTTGGGATGATGGGGGACCAGCCCAACTGGATACGCAGTGATCTGGGAAATCACCATAAATCCATAGGAAAACCATGGGAAAACCATTGGAAAATGGGGATGTCATGGGGATTAACCCTACTGTATCTGGTTGGTGGTTTGGAACCATGGAATTTTATGACTTTCCATATGTTGGAAATAATCATCCCAACCGACTTTCATATTTTTCAGAGGGATTGAAACCACCAACCAGTGATCTATTGAATTCATACGGATTAATATTGATTTACCAGGATTTACCCATGAAAAAAAATGTGATTTTCCATACTTATGTTAGTTTACCAGAGGGTGATCCAGTTGGGTGGGTACGAACTAATCCTTTAGTCTTTTGGCATCGGATTATCTATTTACCAGCTAAGAATTTGTCATTTTTTGTAGGTATCTAAGTTTGGCAATGTAGTGATCTATTGGAATATTTTGGAATATTCAATGGAGCTTAAGCCATGGGATATGGGTAATCTACCATGAACCTTATTTAACCTTGAGATTCAATAAACAGAAATTATGAGTTCTATTGTGGGTAACAATGCCATAAACAACCTCCATGACTGGGAATGGTAAACATACCACCTATAAACATTGTGATTTGGGGGATGGTTTACCTTTCATTTTTTGCTACAAATGGAATCAACATCACCAGCCAACCAGCAACATGCGTTGAAACATGCGTTGGCTTAACATGTGTTGGGTTTTTATTAGTTCGTGACAGGTCGTTTATCTCACTGGAATCATCCTCAGTTCGCTGGCCTTACATCTGGTGAGTGATAGTTACCATCTGGCTATGACTAACATAGCCACGTATTACCGGGACATGGTTGTCCAACCATAAGCCATGGAATTTACCAAATCATGCATCAACTCAGAGACCTAAATCCCATGAAATCCCATTCAAATCCTATATTAAAATCCCATTTACCATCTGGTTATGACTAACATAGCCATGGAAAATCCACCCATTTTTAATAGGCAAACCATCTATCTCTATGTGCCATTTTCCATGGCTATGTTAAATAACCAGAGGGTACTATGATTTAGCCGGATTTGTATGTCACATGTTATAAAAGCAGATAGTAATAAGTAATGAACTACGATGACCTGACTATAACCATAGCTTAAGGTTAGATGGTGTCTGCTAATTTTTGTTATTTGCTGTACCAGATGCTAAGATACATTATAGTATCTATAATGACCATGATAGGATATATAACTATGGTATTTATATATTGCACCCAGTGATATGCAGCGTGACTTTTGGGAAACAGCGGTGACAATGGGGGAAGCGTAGGCATGACTTAGGCGTGACTTTCTAGGTTGCCTGTAACCCATCACTGGTTGGTGGCTGGAACACGTTTTATTTTTCATCCCAACTGACTAATATTTTTCAAGATGATTAAAACCACCAACCAGATCATGGTTGTAGCGTTATTTGTTTCATTTTTTTCAGCTACATGTAGGCTATCAAAAGGGTTGTCTTTTGAGCCCATTGGGAGCAACCCAGAAAGGTAAGATTTGCCCTTAATGGTCGCTCCAAGGTGGTGACTCTCCGGTCATTTGTGACAGTTTGCGAACTTGAACATGGCCCATAGAAATAGATGATTTACCTATAAAAAATGGTGGATTTACCTATAAATGGCCATAGAAATAGTGGATTTAAATGATTTACCTATCAAAAAATGGTGATGTTCCATAGTTTACCCACTAAAAACCACTCAAAATGGTGATTTTCCATAGTTTTTGGTATGTTTACCAGAGTCTAGTCCTCTTTTCTTGGACTACTATGGGGACCGGTCGCTCAGCACCATGATTCTCCGATGGCAATGAGCCAACGCCTACACCATGGGTTTTGATGTGATTTCTGGTTGGTGCTTTGGAAGATTTTTTCCCCATATGTTGGGAAAACCATGGGAAAACCATTGGAACATGGGGATGTCATGGGGATTAACCCTATTGTATCTGGTTGGTGGTTTGGAACATTTTTTGTTTTCCATATGTTGGGAATGTCATAATCCCAACTGACGAGCTCATATTTTTCAGAGGGGTAGGTATACCGGTATACCAGCAACCAGTCACTAATGGGATACTAATGGGGCGTATACTTAGACTTTGATGGTTGGGGCTTATAGTAATATCAATTTATGGTACTTGATGGCAATTTCATATAAATTGATGGTTATTACTACAATATTACTATTTGGTCGGTGGTTTGGAACCATGGAATTTTATCACTTTCCATTCAGTTGGGAATGTCATCCCAACTGACGAACTTCATCATTTTTCAGAGGGGTAGGTATACCACCAACCAGATTTTCTTGAAGTGGTCAGAAAGCAGGGGTATAAATGCATCCTGCAGATGTTCCCTTCCAGTACTAGACCAGGATTTCCATTGGTTTTGTATTGAAAACTAGGGGGGGATGGAGCCTGCCAGCAAATCAGTACTATATAGGTTTGATATGGATGAACATGGCATGTCCGTTACAAACGGGGTGAACGGCAAGCCTTTGATGCGAATTTCGCGCTCCGGTTCATCTTCAAGACCCTTTTTTGGACGTGCCGCGTTAGCGGGGAAACTTTGGATGAGTAGCTCAATACATATATATATATATATAATTGTATATATAATAGTATTATATATATATATGTGTGTGTGTTTTATTTCTTCGAAATTTATTCGAGCTATTGCCACCCCTTTTTTAGGCTGGTTTATAACCCCAATTGATATAGTATAGATGCATCTATCATAAACCCAAGTCATTGGAGTTATAGACGACCAATTGCTAACTATGGGGTACCTTGCATTCCAGTTGGGAATTGCCCTATCGGCCATTTATATCCATAGTTATTGCATGTACAAATTTCACAGAATTGGATGATGGGAAAAACTAGAGGAAACCCCTATATTTGATGGTGAAAACCCATGGATTCCTGTAGATTTTCCCTTAAACCAATCCATTGAACATTGGTTATAAGAAGAAGAACCACTGCGATGTGCATCCACAAAGTGCCGAGAAAAATCCCCAAGCAACTGGATAGGTAGTTGAACCCCTTGGAAAACCCAACTTAGTTTTTGCCTTGAAATGGAATCCATGGTGGTTTCCATACATGGAGGTACCCCAATAGCTGGATGGTTTATATGAATATGGGAAAAACCTTTTTTAAAACGAATGATTTGGGGATAATACCCCCCATTTATGGAAACCCCCAAATAACCAGAACCAGCACAAGATTATTTTATGGAGGACTGCCAAAGGTTGACCATGGAATTAAATTGTACCCTCTGGTTATTTAACATAGCCATGGAAAATGACCCATTTATATATAGATGGTTTACCTGGGTTTACCTATTAAAAATGGTGATTTTCCATGGCTATGTTAAATAGCCGAGGGTAATATAGTTATAAACGATTGTAATTAAGTGGAATAGACTGAGACACTGGCCCCACTTGCCAACTGGGCCAACTGTGATTGGATCATTCCAGCTGGAAATCTTGGATAGATGTGGTAAATCGATGGTCGATGCGTTTTCTTGTGGTATGTTTCTGGACATTGATTCCAATATGATCAACAGTTAGCAGCCATTTATGATACCACATGGCAGAATTATTGGATGTAGGTTTCCTACACAACATCTCATTAAGCAAAAATAATGCCTGGCAACACGCAGGCAGCACTGCTCACCAGCGAGAGGGGACAGATGTTACCTTACGAGTTCCTTGTCAAGACGCCAAGTGGGATGTGGGGGGGGGAATGGGAAACGGTGCTTTATGCATGGTTCTCCTCCAAAAAAACATCTGGTTGGTGGTTTGGAACATGTTTTATTTTCCATTTCATATATGGGATGTCATCCTTACGGGATGATCCTTCCATTGTCTGATATTTAAAACCACCAACCAGACATGGTTCAGAGAGGTTTTGGTTGCGCTTTCCTCTGGTTTTTCATGAATTGTTTCTGGCTCGAGCCATGGCGCTCCGATGCCATTTCTTCAAAGGACACATCTCAAAGTTAACTAGGTCAACCTTACATGGATACAAACTAATCCTGAATATTCTTGTGGTATTAATGGGAATATTTGCTCACCAGCAAAGAATTTGTCACATTTTGCAGGGTATCTAAGATTGGCAGTGTTAAGAAGAAACTGGTGTGGATTATGCTTCAAGTTTAATCCTGCTGGCAGCATTGAATAAATGTTTGGTGCTGTTTGATTGCATTCGTGTGGGTTGTGACGAGATGATTTGAATTCGTAGGCTGTGCACAAACCTGCACTACCTATATAATGTCAGCCCTGCATCTTTTGAGAGATTGTTCTCTTTGAACATGTTTGAACCAATAATATATATAGTATATATATATATATAAATAGTATATATATGGTATATATATATTTATATAGTATATATATAGTATATATATAGTATATATATATATTTATATATATATTATATACATATATATATATTTAAATATTTCCAAATAGTATAGAGTCAATGTTCAAGATATCAAAGCTTATATCTGTGTTTCTGCTTTCTGTTGGTCAGAATCATAGTTTGGTCTTATCCCCATACCGAGTCGGTTCAACATGGTTTAACTATATTTTAATATCCGATGAATACTACTACATTCCTTTGGGATATACATGTAATATACATTAATGTGTATATATATAACATATATACACATATACATATCTAATTACATTTTTTCATATATACATATATTCCCATTTATATATATACATACACAAAAGACGTGCAAGAGCCTGATTTGCATTGATTATGTTCATTTCTAGCACCCAAAAGATTCGGTTGCACGAAATATTCCATTGTGTCCTTATTATGATTGGCTGATATCCCCTGTCGTACCATCATTGGAAAGAGCGTTTAAGGTGCACTTCTCCAAGGTATTGACGGTATAAAGATATCAGGACTCATATCATTAGTATTCCTTTTATTTGGGCTTATGTTTCTTCATCCTACTAAACCCATTCAATATTCACACGATATAGTATTTGTACCACGGCTCAATTTTCCCGGGCTCCCTGCTTCAACTGTAGTCCTGTTTCATATCCTCATTCATCGTCATCGTCATATCGATCAATATTATTCAAGGCATCCACAAAAAAACATCTTCAAATATCATATATGTACAAATCGAAATATTAAAATACAAAAAAAAATAAAATAGCAATACTTTATGTATATATAATATACATGTGTACATACATTTTTATTTAATTACATATTGGCATACGGGACATCAACATATCTAATCCCACCTACTAAATATATGGCCTATGTAAGGGCTAAATTTCAGGGAATATCCTCACAAAATATAGCCCTATAGAGTACGGGACCTCCACTTTAGGATCATGAAATTCCAAGATTAATGGTATAGACCTTCCAAATTCCTACTGGTTGGTCGGTTAATAAACTGGTTCGTGGTTTGGAACATGAAGTTTATTTTCCCCAATAGTTGGGATGATGATCCAATCTGACGAACTCATATTTTTCAGAGGGGTAGGTATACCACCAACCAGTAGTGATCTATTGAATTCATATGGATTAATATTGATTTACCAGGATTTACCCATGAAAAAAATGTGATTTTCCACCAACCAGATCATTTTTCATAATCAGAAATCCTCTATAAATGGAGAATGGGTGCTATGAATGGAAAACCAACCAGTATAAATAGAGGGTTCATCCCTTTCAACCAACAATCTGGGTAAATTTGATCACGACCTCACTGTTCTCCCGAACCCTGGAAATCATAGTTAGTATCAGGGAAATCACCCCATAGCTGGCCGCAAGATTCATGTTAGTGAAATACTATACCCTCTGGTAAACTAACTGTTTGCTATTGAACATGACCAATCATGACCATTTATAGTGAAATATTTTAATTTACCCAAAACAATCCCTGTAGGTTGCGGGTCGTGGCCTCGACCTTCGGCCCTCGGGCGGCTACCTTTTTGGCGGAGCCACTAGGAGAGGAGCTGCCAGCATTGGAGGCTTCTGTGGCGTCACGTGGCGATTTTCATAGGGATTTGATGGTGATTTTGATGAATTTGAGGGTGATTTTGGATGATTTGAGAACGATTTTGGGTGATCTGATTGTGATTTTGGATGATTTGAGAATGATTTTGGGTGATTTGATGGTGATTTTATATGATTTTGATGAATTTGAGGGTGATTTTGGGTGATTTGATGGTGATTTTGGGTGATTGGATGGTGTTTTTATATGATTTTGATGGTGATTTTGGGTGATTTTGGGTGATTTGATTGTGTTTTTGGATGATTTTGACGGATTTTGGGTGATTTGAGAGTGATTTTGGGTGATTTGATGGTGTTTTTGATGAATTTGACGGTGATTTTGGATGATTTGAGGGTGATTTTGATGAATTTGATGAATTCTGTGGCAGTTTCCGGATTAATTACCCTCTGGTAAACATACAAACAACTATGGAAAATCATCATTTTTCATTGGAAAACTCACCATTTTCAATAGCTAGTTTGACATAACCAGAGGGTATATAATTTGTATTGCGGTCATGTGAGGCTTACGGAACAGAACAGCTCCAAAAGCTTTGGACTGAAAAAGGTCTTATGGATGTTTATGGCACTCCCTGAAAACTAACGTGGAACGGTGGTTCCTAGAGGTAAAACATGGTCAAACTCCCCATGCGAATGGGTGAAAAGTCCCAAGATCATTAATATATTGAATATGTTAAATATGTTAGGTCCATTTTTCTAGGTACTTGCAGGGTCTAGGTCACCTAGGTCCGTTCCAAGGTGTGCGGAGCTGTTGCACGTGCTGTGCCGTTCCAACATGGCCACACGGCCCGAGTGTCAGCCGGTGCTGTTGGAAGGCTGTGCTAGGCCCGTTTGAAACGGTGGTTACGATGATGACGGTGGAGGAGATAAATCACTTGGTCACTTGCTGAACTGTGGGATGTATGATAGATTGATAGATAGATAGATAGATAGATTAGATAGATTAGATAGATTAGATAGATTAGATAGATTAGATAGATTAGATAGATTAGATAGATTAGATAGATTAGATAGATTAGATAGATTAGATTAGATAGATTAGATAGATTAGATAGATTAGATAGATTAGATAGATTAGATAGATTAGATAGATTAGATAGATTAGATAGATTAGATAGATTAGATAGATAGATAGATAGATTAGATAGATTAGATAGATTAGATAGATTAGATAGATTAGATAGATTAGATAGATAGATAGATAGATAGATAGATCGATCGATCGATCGATCGATCGATCGATGGATGGATGGATGGATGGATGGATGGAAAAACCAGATAGGTGGAAAAACCATAGGAAAACCATAGGAACATGGTGATTTAACCAGCAAAAATGGATATTACCGAATCATAATAATGATGGTAAAACAATGCCATAAACCATTCATGACTGGGAATGGTAAACATACCACCTATAAACATGGTGAAATTGGGAGTGGGTTATTCTTGTTTTACCCACATTAGATATATATTTCAGGAGTCTTTTTTGGTCTCTTTATTTTAAAGCTGGTTGGTGGTTTGGAACATTTTTTTTATTTTTTTATTCCATCTGTGTCTTGCTTGATCCATAGGATTTTTTCAGCGAGCCCGATCTACAATTTCACTGTTGTAACGCAATATGCTGTGCAACATCGAAGCCGAACTAAGGTGTGCGAGAGCAAAGGTCCAAAAATTCCATAATATATGGGAATGTCATCATCCCAACTGACAAACTCCATCATTTTTCAAAGGGATAGGTCAACTTAAAATTCTACCATAGATCATACAGATAGACCCACGAGGTGGAGTTCCCTCGAGGTGATGTTGGTTGTAAAAACCACCAGCGAGCTTAGCGATTCCAAACTGGGCACCACCTTGCGATAATCATGGGATACACAGTATGGACATTTACCTGGATTAGTAGGATAAGATGGGGAAAAAATATGAAAAAATGGTGGGATAATCATCTATAAATGATGTAGGATCCACCCAATAATCATGTTAAAACCCAATCATATCAATCATTGTTTGGGGACAGTCTGGGAGAATTTTGAAGTTCATGGGATGATTGATGCCATAAACCATCCCGGGTTTATTCTTATTGGTTCTTGACATTGGGTTTACCAGGTTTACCACATGGGGAAGCCGTACTTGGTGAAAGGTCACTGAATGCTTGGGGAATGGTTCCCGGGGACACACTGGATGGCTGAGATTTTGCCGAACATGAGATGAGTTTCTGTTCCAGAGGCTAGCATTAAAGGTTCCAAGTCCCGAAAACCACTAAAGACCCTGCAGATATACTCATCATGAAATAAACCAACTTCGCAATCATAAACCATGCACATGTAAATTCTAAGATTTCTTGAGTTTCAGTCCCAAGTTTTGCTGCTTAAATCCACATGCTTGATCATTTTTGCTGGTTAAATCGCCATTTGTGCATGTTTTGTCCACCACGGCTGCCACCCACTCCGTTATGACATCCGTGCAGTTGGCGTTTGGCCTTGCCTCCGGCTGTACTGGTGAGCCTGATTCCGGCACCAGAGGGGGTGCCAGCTGTGGTGGCTCGGCTTTGGCGGCTGCGAAAGCCTAAGAAAGGGTGAAGTTTAGGCAGCAAGACCTTGAGATCTACATCTGATTTATGATAGATAATTGGGAGCTATATCTGAAAAAGTTGGGAAGATTGGGATTTGACCAACAAACATTGATATTTAAGCAACAAATTGGGATCTATATTTGATTTATGATGGATTTCAGCTGGGCGAAGTGCTGGTGGAATGATGGATATACCCAGGGTTGGATAGGATTGTAAACATGTCCCTCCAGGGCATAGATTTGCCCCAGTTTCACTGGGTGTTTGGTTACTTTAGCTGGGGGCGCAGTTGGGTTTATTCATGTGCATAGCTATTGTCAAATTGTACTAACCTCCATAAGTTGGGATACCCCTACAACTATGGTTATACAACCCACACCAAAGCAATGAAACTGCACTCCCAAGTAGGCTCAGTTTTAGGGTCGGAAACCTTTTTTTTTTGGCCGAGGCAGAAGCCGCCAAAGCGTTCCTTGGCCGTGGGAGAAGTGGATGGATGTTGATGCCTTGGTCATAGCTACGAGGTGGGCCCCCGTTCACTTGGTGAAATCTATGGTTTATGGATGTTAATGGGAGATATAACATGATATAACTATGGGCAATGGGGTCTATAAACCAACTTCTAACTGTTATAAAGCAACTTAACTATCAATAACTATCATAAATCACCTATGGATCCGAAGTTGTACTAGTTTTCACCCCCAAAAAAAAGGTTGGTTAAATCAACCAATTTCCAATTGTTGGTTGTTTAAACCAGACTTTTCACATCTTTTCACCATGTTTGGTTGTTTACCCTCTGGTAGTTTAACGTAACTATTGAACATTGCCATTTATAGTGGATTGTCCCATTGAACATGGTGATTTTCCAAGATTAATGGTATAGATCTTCCAAATTCCTACTAGTTGTTCGGTTAATTAACTGGTTGGTGGTTTGGAACATGAATTTTATGACTTCCCCAATAGCTGGGATGATGAGCCAATCTGACGAACTCATATTTTTCAGAGGGATTGAAACCACCAACTATAGATAACTATTGAGCATTGCCATAGAAATAGTTGATTTACCTTTTAGACATGGTGGATCTTTCCATCGTTTTTTGTAAACATTTACCAGGTCGGGTAACTCCCACTTTTCCCCATGTGTTGCTGGGTGAATTTCCCCCAAAATTGCCACAGGATGGTGGCCCCCCAATAGAATGTTCGTTGGTTTATAAACCCCATAGAACTATAGATACTTTAGATATATCACCTATAAACATCTATAAACCATACTTATTGGAGTTATAAATAGTTAATTATAAACCAACTAACTATAGTTATCTAGCTCGTTATATCTACCATAAACCATAGTTAATTCAGCCATTTATAAACCAACTTTTTACGCTATCCAACGGGGGCCTACCATAAACATCCAGAAACCATAGAATTGCCAGCTGATGACCGAGGCTTCAGGCACTCGCCGTGTTGCGCCCCTTGGCCACGGCGGAAGTGCAGAGACCCATGGAGCACGTGCAGGCGTGGTGCTGGTGCGGGCTCCCGGTTTCACCCATGACTGGGAATGGTTTGGATCCCACCTATATATGGTTATTTGGGGGATGGTTTAGTATTCTTTTACCATATTTTACCCACATTATTTGCATATAATATATATATAGATATGTATAATCTGGTTGGTGGTTTCAAACATTTGGATTATTTGTCCATTTCATATATGGGATGTCATCCTTCCCATTGACGAATTCATATTTTTCAAGATGGTTAAAACCACCAACCAATAATTATATGGGATTATATGGGATTATATGGGATTATATGGGTTATATATAGCTTATAAGCGACTTACAAGTGGGGCCCGCACATCCAGAATCCAAGTGGGGCCTTCTTTGGTCACTGAGTCACTGAGTTCTGGGGAAAGCGTTTTTCATGTTGAAGGAGTACAACCCCCTTGGATAAACATACAAAAAGATGTGGAAAACCTCTGGTTCAATGGATTGGTTTAAGGGAAAATCTATAGGAAACCATGGTTTTTACCATCAAATATAGGGGTTTCCTGTAAATTTCCCCGTCATCCAATTCTGTGATTGGTTTCCGGTTGGGAAAGTGATCTACTTCTTATGCCGGGTTTTCCACATCTATGTTAGTTTCCAGGAGAGTATGGTTGTGGGATATGAATGGATTACTAATCATCAATATTAACGGAATGTTAATGGGATATGAATGGATTACTCATGGAATATCAGTGGGATATGAATGGATTATCAGTATGAGTGGAATATTGATGGGATAATGGTATACAAATGGAATATCACAACTTAATTAACCTGGGTCAACATAAATATACAATACAGTCATATTCTGGAAAACTGGAGTTATCATTAATGTGGTAAACCCAGGAGTAATTTCTTAGACCACCCATCCCCAATTCTGAGGTTTATTGTTGGGTACACCGTTGGAAATGTGATATAAAGTGACCCCAAATTTCGTTCGTAAATGGGGAGTAAAGGATTCCTGCAACTTAACCCTGGATTGTCCGAGCCAATTTTTTTTGTTGATTTCCCAATGGAAAGTGCACTACTGGTGATTTTTTTGAAAATACCCTGCAGTAAATTAACATAGACCGTGGCAGATAGGGGTTGGAAGATTAGTTTCCATTAAAAATGGGCGATTCTCAGGGTCTATGTTAATTTACCACAGGGTATGTTTTACCTTTTGGCTTCCTTCAGCAAGTTGATGTTTTTTCATTCTCTTACCATGTTGATGGTATAATCAACCATTATTACTTCACCAAATAAAGGAAAAGGCATCTCAGATCAGGCCGCATTCCGGATTTTGGTCATGGCATGTCATGGCATGTCATGCACGCCTGCAGGGTCCTCTTCGCTTCGAAAGTGAGGTACCTAGGGGTGCCTGATCTGGAGGTTTTACACTCAACTCACATATATAGCGAACTGCATCGAACTGCGAACATCATGATATTTAAATAACGGTAAATCAACCCATAAAAAGGGCCATGGCTATAGCTATGTTAAATCACCAGAGGTTCAACCGCGGTTTTTGGGGATGAGAAAATCAGACTAACTTGGCAGGGGAGCTTGCCAAAGCCAACCACTAAGGCTGATTGTGCTTCTTTGGGAGGGTGTTGGGGCAGCTACCCTCTGGTAAACATTTACATAACTATGAAAAATCACCATTTTTAAGGGGAAAATCCACTATAAATGGTCATTTTCAATAGCTATTAGTGTACCAGAGGGTAAGGAGTTTTGGGTACTCAGGTATCAACATTCCACATGTTCAATGGGGTACTTTGGAGGCAATGGGAGTGGTTTCAGTGTAAACTGATAATGCTGCAGGATTTTGGCAGGGTTAAAGAAACAGAGATATGGTCAACGGCTGTTTCAAATACATTCAAATACAGTATATATATACACACTTAGTATACCAGATAAGGCCATGCTTTTCAGATCCTTTCACAAGAATTTTCTTACATAGGCCTCCATCGATTTTCTATAGATTAGGTTCTCGTTGATTGAGTACTTCCTCAATTCGGGTGTCTGAAAATAGGGCCTTCATCGAGTGGTTTAGCACCATTTTCATCCGTTTTCATCCCCATCTTCATCCATTTACCCCATTAGAATCGCAAGTTTAGGGTGTGCCCCATGTTCGGCCAGGACTCAGAAGCAGACACTGTCGGGATGCTTTGGGGGCGTCATTTCCAGGGACAACTGCACTGCGGTTGGTGACCGTTGAACCCTGTAGGGATGTCAACTCCCAGGAGTTGAGGGAGAAAATGTAGGAAATGCCCAGCCCGGTGTTGGGCTGGTACATTGCTGCATATGTTCCATTGACACAATCCAGTATTGGTTGATCAACATGAGGATTTCATGGATTGTTTTGGATTGTTTTTTTTTGTCATTCTTCTCTTGTAATTACCTGTTACGCTCTAAAATATGGAACATCACGTGATTTTAATGGGTGAATCGTCAATGGGCCATGGCGTAGCTATCCGATATGCTCCATGGTGCTGGAATATTTACCAACATTTGCTCTAAAAATCACCCAATGTAGTAAATATACCATACATGGAGCATATGGGTATCTTAAAACACTGGAGGGTAGGCACAGGGTCGGAGTGGAAAAACTTGTCTCCGCAGGGGAACTCGGGCCCGGGCTTTGTACATCGCCTGATATTGCTGTTTGGCTCGAGTGGTCGTGCTAGGATTTCAGGGAGCACGTGGAAATGTCGTACCCTCCTACGGTCCTACCTTTAACAAATAGTGATTTTCCATAGCCATGTTCAATTATCAGAGGGTAATTATGTGGTTTTCTTGGCTTTGCTGATGGATTACAGCCTTATACTTACTTTTTTTTGTGTGTGTGTGTGTGTCCTGGTGATTTTTTCTGGACACACACGGTTTTTTTCCACAAACTCCACTAGAATTTCGCCTGACGAAGGGGTGCAACAAATCACCAGACTTCTGCGATGTATTCCCAGTTGGGATCAGAAGATCTTCCCGCAGAATTGCCATCTCCAAAGAAATAGAAACATGGTTCCAGATGTTTCCAGGAGGTTGCAGATAATACTTACATATACTTACCCTCTGGTTATTTAACATAGCCATGGAAAATTGCCCATTTATAGATGATTTTCCCATAAAAACTTCCGTTTATGAGGGATTTGCCATGGCTATGTCAAATAATCAGATGGTACTACATATTTTTTTTTGGTCTCCCACTTTCATATCTATGAGTATCTATGTTGCGGTTGCTCTCTCTCTCTCTCTCTCTCTCCATATATATATATATTGTATATGCCTATGCATATATATATAATTATATATGTATGTATGTATGGATATGCGACGAGTGGGTGTCATGTTTTCATTTATTACCCCAAGTTACCCACTGGGATGAACACGCCATATATTGTTCTGCGCAAAAATGGATATGGGTCAAAAACCAGTTGCCAACAGTCACGGGGATCCAAGAAGAAGGTAGGTCGGTTCTTCTGCCATGCTACACACACTTGGCAATCTTCACAGGCCCGCGGGGCACGGCCTGTGTAACTTGTGTGCCCCAAAATGTGCAGGTCCCATTTGACCAGCATCCCACTTATTTATATATATATAAGTAAATATACATGTATCATGCCATGCGTTATATACATATAATACATATATATATATTTTTCATTCTGGTGTATTCGGCCATTTTTGCTCTTCTTTTTCTGATCGCTGCTCAAGCAAGGCCAGGAAACAGCCCCGGCCGGCTGGTGGTGGAAAATATCACATGTTTGGCCAGATGACTATGTATGGATGTTTCACTATGTTTCACTACACCCATAATTTCCCATCAAAATCCTACAATGTGGGGCCCCCTAGTTATAAGTTGGTTTATAGCCCCATCTAACTATGGTTATAACTACCATAAACCCTAGTTATTGTAGTTATAAACCAACTTAGCTATCTTGGGGGCCCCACATTGTAGTTAATCCACTGTTTCCCATATGAAATGCGCGGAAATGCCCAAGGCATCCAAAGACCCTACGATTCTAGCCGGTCTAGCCTTGGTTTCCTGCAGATTTTCTTGCTTTTGCAACTGGCAAAGCAGGTTGACTTCGGCACTTAGAATTAGTTGATTTACCCTCTGGTAAACTAACATAGCTATTGAAAATGGCCATTTATATTGAGTTTTCCCATAAAAAAATGTGATTTTCCATAGTTATGTTGGTTTACCAGAGGGTATTCTGTTGGAACATGGGTTGTGTTTCAATGCCTGGCGGCCTGGCATGGCTCAAATCGCGTGTGCAGGAATGGTATTGCATGGTATGGCATGGTATGGCATGGTATGGCTGCGTGGGCAAACCCTCGCAAATGAAACCCGACTAATTATATCTATTATCATAGTTTTAGATCTATTGGATAATAGATATAATTAGTGCAGATAATAGTGCAGATGGATATATATATATATATAACAGTGGATGGTATAATTATATGCACAGCGCAGATCAGTGCAGATGGATTGGGTTGTGACAATGGATCTTCTGCGTGATGGTTGAGTTCACCTGGTCATTGGTGATAGAAATTATCCTTGTAGCTGGATGTTTTACCCGCGTTCCAGATGGTTTTCGTGCCCAGTTCGCCATGCTGAATTACCAAAGGTGATTTTTTTTGAATGTCGATGTTCTTGGCATCCCACTTCATGCATAGCTTCAATTGGTGTATTCTGGTGGAATCTAGGGGTGTATTTAGTATTAGGGCAACCATTTCGTTCATCATTTCAAAAATGGTTAGAGTGAAAGTATACAGGACCCCCCAACATTTTGACATGTTGGAGGTCAAAAAATGTAAAGAAAAACGGCGTGTTTCCTGTGAAAGACCATTCAATCCAACCATTGAATGTATAACCACGACAGGGCACTTTTGCAATCTCAAAGCAATTTCCTATATGCTCCATGGTGCTGGAATATTTACCAACATTTGCCCCAAAAATCACCCAAATGTAGGTAAATATACCATACATAGAGCATATGGGTTTAGGAAGAAAGTCACTTTGAAAACCGTCTTTTCTTCTTGCCGCCATGGCTGAGCTGGTCGGTATCGAGGTAGTCAACTTGCACGGAAAGAGGTGGAAACTGGAAGATGTGACTTGCTGGCGTGATGTAATGTATATAATGTAGGTAAGACAATAGTAAACCACCCATTTGGGTATCAGTTATACCACCTTTGAGATTGTGATTTGGGATATGGTTTATCATTCTTATTATTGTTTTACCAAATTGTATCCATAAAGGTTTGCCCAAGACATGAATTTACCGTAGATTTTTCACAGGATGTAACAATATGGGCCTATCAAGATAGCTAAGTTGGTCTTGTTCACTACAACAACAAGGGTTTATAGTGATTATATTTGTACCCTCGGGTAAACTAACATAACTATGGAAAATCACAATTTTTAATGGGGAAATCCACTAAAAATGGTCATTTTCAATAGCTACGTTAAATTACCAGAGGGTAGTTAAATCCCAAAGATAGCAACTCCCAAATAGTTCATCTATCGCATCCCGGAAATGCTGTTCTTTCTTTATAGGGCATCCCTATAGTTTGGGTGTTGCCGATGAGTAATTTTATGCACCATAGGCTCCATAGTAGTAATCCAGAATTACCATGAATTAGGGATTTATATCCATTAAATCTTCATTTTTTGATGGTTAAAATCACAATTGTTGAAGGTTAAATCATGTGAAATCTCCATCTTTGATGACAAAAAATCATCCATTTGCCATTAATTCCGATCAAATCTGGTGATTTAGGGGGATTTGATAGGATTTTAGTGGGATTTGGTTAGCTAAGTTGGTGAACATAAGCCATCCACATAAGCTATGAATCTGGGTAAATTATAATAATTCACCTGAATTAAAGCTATGTCGGAATAGTTGCCTATACTAACCACTAGAAAACAGTGAGGTCGTTATCAAAATATTCAGATTTTTCATGCCACAAACGAAGAAACAGCGCTTCACCATGGCAGCCCAAGGTCCCGGCGTCGATGACGGGGCGCCAGCTCCTTCAGTTGATCTGCGACGCCTCCGTGTTGGCACAGCCACCGCCCGGTGCGCGCGTGGCAGTGCAGCATGGACGAGAGCAGTTGTGCTTGGGGAGGACCTTACGAGAACAAGGAAACCTGGATGGAAGTCATCTGGGAATGGTTTATACCGTACCACCTATTTATGGTCATTTGTTCTAGGGTATCTAAGATTGGCAATGAAAATGGTAGTGTCTGAAAACGGATATATTTAATACTTGGTGGTTCATCCCAGGAATCGTAAGTGGGTTAGTTCACCCCAGTTATAAGTGAACATTGCCCCTAGTTTGCCCATGTATAATCAGGCTTATAACCTACTTACTGACTGGGATGAAGCACCAAGTATGAATTTTCATGATATTTCATGGTGGCTGAATGATGATTGTCGGTGATTCTTCATGGGATTTACCCTCTGGTAAACATACAAAAAGCTATTGAACATGGCCATAGAAATAGTGGATTTACCCATTAAATGGTGATTTTCCATAGCTATGTAAACGTTTACCAGAGGGTATGATGATTTGGAGATTTCTATTCCCGAAGATGATTCATGGGACTCTCTGAAAATGGAGTTATTCTGGTAATTTCATAGGGAACATGCCATTGATGGGGCCCCAAAATGTGATGTGAACGTTGGTTTATAAAGCCCATTAAAACTATAGATACTATAGATATATCAACTATAAACATCTATAAACCATACTTATTGGAGTTATAAATAATTATGTTCACCATTTAACTATAGTTATCTAGTTCGTTATATCTACCATAAACCATAATTAATTCAGCCATTTGTAAACCAACTTTTTACGCTATCCAACGGGGGCCCCATCCTGTGGAAACAATGATAGGATGTAATAATCTCGTTGGTGCTTTGTTTGTTTTATGTTTTCCATATGTTGGGAGTTTCATCATCCCAACTGACGAGCATATTTTTCAGAGGGGTAGGTTCAAACCACCAACCAGTAATGGTTTATAATTGTCTATTAGGGCTTACAATGGTTTTTAGTGGTGAATAATGGTTTATAATGTGTCATGATGGACCATCTTAAGCAAATATCAGGAACCTCTATGGAATTATATATATATATAGCTAAGCTGGTGAACATAATTTGGTTGACTTGGGTGGGAAGTGGGAACATAACTATAGTTAATGGTGTTTCAACGGATTTCTAGATCTGAGGAAACAAGTTAGGGGAAAAATCGCCATTCAAAATGGTGATCTAGTGGGATATTCACACTAAATTCAGACGAAAAAGCACACCTTGGAATGATCTCCAAGGAATCCTTGGAGAATGCGTCACTTTGTCCTATCTTTACATTCCCATCAACCTCTATGCAGCCTGGAAGTACCTCAAGGGTCGAGCAGTGCTGGAAGAAGAATTTGCTCTGCATGGAGTGACGAAAATTGAGGGAGTTGAATCAGGGAATCAGCTACAAAACCTTCCCCACAGCGACTTGGATTTGATGGCTCGTTGGGTTTCTGGTAGATTTTTGTGGATATGAACGGGAGATTAGCGGATTATTCATAGAATATGAATGATATGAATGGGATTATGACTTAACTGTGTTAGATTTGCTTTGAGTCGATGTTGAATTTCTCGAAAATCCACTACCTGTGGGATTTTTGAAGAATATCCCAGGCCTGCAGCAATTGACTTTCGGCAATACTCACACTTTGGATGGCGTGACTTTGCCGCACACTTTGCAAAAGTTGACACTGGGCGTATGTTTTAACCAGCGCTTGGATCAAGTCACTTTACCCAGCACTTTGCGGAGCTTGACTTTTGGCTACATGTTCAATCAACAACTCGATGCTGTCAATTGGCCAACGTCTTTGCACGATTTGACCTTCGGCGGCAGCTTCAACCAAAGAGTGGATGGGGTGACTTTGCCGGAAGGTTTGCAAAGCTTGTCTTTCACTTATGGACCCTATGGCTTCAACCAGAAGATCGACAGGTTGAATTTCCCTGCGGCTTTGCAAAGTCTGCACCTCTGCGGCAACTTCAATCAAAGCCTAGATGCAGTCGCATTGCCAAGGGGTCTTCAAAGCTTGTCCTTTGGCTACAAATTCAACTACAGCTTAGATTTAGTCACGCTGCCAGCAGGTTTGCAAAGTTTGACTTTCGGCCACGACTTCAATCAAAGCTTGGATGCAGTGATGTTGCCACCAGCTTTGCAAAGTCTGACTCTTGGCAGCAATTTCAACCAAAGGTTGGATGGGGTAAGTTCCCCCCCCGGCCTCGAACACTTGATTCTCGGCATGAATTTCAACCAAAGCTTACATGGCGTGACTCTACCCGGCAGTCTTCAGCATTTGGGTTTTGGCCTGATGTTCAATCAGAGTTTTGATGGAATGACTTTGCCAACAGCTTTGGAAAGCTTGACTTTCGGGGATTTCTTTAGCCAGAAGTTAGACGGAGTTCCAAGCAGCTTGCGAAATCTGACGCTTGGCAGCCATTTTGACCCCTCCAATGGTGTGACACTTCCACCCGGTTTGCGAAGCTTGACATTTGATGGGGAATTCAACCGGAACTTGGATGCTGTCTGTTTTCCAATAGGTCTGCAGAGCTTGATCTTTAGCTTTGGCTTCAATCAGAGACTGGATGATGTCATTTTGCCAGCAGCTTTGCAAACTTTGACTTTGGGTTTTGACTTTGATCAGCCCCTGGATGCTGTGACTCTGCCAGTAAGTCTGCAAAGTTTGAGTTTCGGCCACAATTTCAACCAGAGCTTCAAGCATGTGACGTTCCCCAGCAGTCTTCAAAAACTGACTCTTAGTCGACTTTTTGATCAGAGCTTGGATGGTGTGAGTCTCCCAGCAGGTCTACAAGAGTTGACCCTTCCGGGCGACTTCAACCAAAGCTTAAATGGGATAACTTTACCTCCGGCTTTGCGCAGCTTAACTCTGGGCGAGTTGTTCGACCAGAGTTTGGATGGTACGATTCTGCCAGACGGATTGGAGACTTTGACGTTTGGAGATGAATTTAACCAAAGCTTAGATGGAGTGAAATGGCCTGCCACTCTGAAAAGCTTGACTTTCGGTCATGCATTCAAGCAAAGCTTAGATGCTTGGGTTTGGTCTGCTATGCTTTGTTTTTTTTGTTTTTTTTCTGACATGCGTTTGACTTTTCGACATGTTCTGTTTACCAGGCTACAGCGGCTACAAGTTTCAAACGAGCTACATTGCTACATCCACGTACTGTGAATCAAAACTTTTTCGGGGACCCCATCTGAAATCATGAGTCGTTTGTTTGTGGGAATAATTACGTTACATGTTCATTTTGTTCATTATTCTATCATGATTTATAGTGATAAAGTTTACGTCATGTGATGAATTAGTGGCAAATTGCCATATGTGATAGATTCGTAATACATTACTCATCTATTTTCTTGGGATTGCAGTACTACATGTTACTCATACATGAAATGTATACCCAGATTGTCGATCTTCAGCTCTGAGGATGCTGTGGCTCTGCCAGCCTTGCAAGAACTCTGCTGCGAGGGTGTGACTGTTGGCACTGAACGGTGACATGAAATGTGTGTTGTCGCTTGTTTAATGGGAATTTTAGGGCCCTAAAGTGGAGGTACTGTAGCATATAAGTGTGGGGATATGCCCTTTCATAGCCCTTACATAGGCACTAAATATATGGTAGGTACCTCCAATAAATCGGTTCCTGTTGCATGGCCATTTCTGGGTGGCAGCTCAAATTCATGCGAAATTAAGGGCAATCATCTCCAAAAGCCGCTTGGAGAAAGCCATATCCCGAAACGGCACATGTTCCAAAATCATCCAACATTTCACATGTTTAATAGGTCAATGGCCATTTCAGGAACCGATTTATTGGAGGTTAGCACCTACCATATATAAGACCTATGTAAGGGAATATCCACGTAAAATATAGCCTTATCTGGTACAGTACCTTCATTTTAGGATCCTGGAATTCCCATTGAATAAGGAAGTCAATAGTTTTGGGGTACCCCAGCCACAAGGGAAAAAAAAAACAGAACATATTCATCACTTTGTGTTTTTTTCAGATAGCTATGTGGACCCCCAAGTTACAAGTTTACAAACCCCATGATACTTATAAGATGTTATCACCAAGAAAACAATCCATAAACCAACTAATCATGGATTAATCACCATTTTCCTATGGTTTTCCTATGGTTTAAATGTCTAAATCCCAATCTAAATCACCATGAAAATCATGGATTAATCACCACTAAATCACCATTTTCCTATGGTTTTCCTATGGTTTAAATGTCTAAATCCCCACGGTAAAATCAGCAAAATCCCATCAGTAGAGCTGTGATGGCTCTCTTTTTCTCACCGCTGCGGCAATCTGCGGCTCGAGTCGTTTGAACCGCGAGCTGCGCTTGCGCGGCCGCAGCCATGTCAGCCTTGCATCTTGGCTCCGCCCTTTTGGTGGCCATAGGGAAAAATCATAGGAAAAAACAGGGAAAGATATAGGAAAATCCATGAAGTAAAGGGAGGTTTCTAGACGGGAAAAATCAACTAATTATTAAGGGAACAGAAGTAAAACACAACCCAAACTAGTTACAATTGAAACCTCTAAGCCAAAAAAGGAGGTTTGAAGTGTTTTCTTGTTGCCCAACTATTCTTTTGCAGGGCATCTTAGATTCGCAAGGGCTTTGACGGGCCTTATTCTCTCGCCCTTGGGATGTGGACGAACCATCTCAAGACTTGCTGAAGATCTCACATGAAACCTCTTACATGTTCCCTCATGTTTTCCGAGTTTTCATCATTTTAAAGCTTAAAGATGCCATGACATTTCCATGTTTTTCCAATCAGCATCACCATTCTGCTTTCGTCTTACGTAGTTTTTTTTCCCAGTGGAAATCACCATTTGTTTCAATAAACAATGGATTGGTGCAAGGGAAAACCTACAGGAAACCATAGATTTTCCAATTATATATATATATATATGTGGTTTTACTGTAATTTTTCCTGAAATCAACATGCCATTCTGCTTGGGCAAAACCCCAGATTTCATAGATCTTTCCGCTGGTTTCATCAGGTTGAAGCCTGGCGTCAACGAGCCCGGCATGGCCAGTGAAGTGAGGCGAGTGTTGCTTCGTGTATCAAATGTGTATAGAATGTTGGATCAATAGACATATATAATTGGTGACATAATTTCTGGGTAAATTATAGCGACCTCACTGCGACCTCACTGGAATCATGGTTTATAAGGGAAATCATGCCCAAATGGCCTTATTTCAGGTTAGTGAATTATTATAATTTACCCAGATAATTTGACATAATTTGACATAATGTCATAATTGATCAATCGATATCTGATCAGTTCTAATTTGGAATATATGTGGGAGTGATTACTCGTTCCACGAATCGTCAGGGGCTTGAAACCCTAGTTATAAGTGGATTAAGAGCCTACTTATCCCACTTGGAACCAGGGATATATAACCTAATTACTTATCAAGTGGAATGAGCTACCAAGTAGTGCATAAAATGTGGGATTGATACCTGAAAATGGGTCAAAACCTGTTTTATTACCATAGTTCGGTGAATTAACATCCATTAACCAGGATTTTTTAGTATACCTAGGTACCAGGGTTTTGACCCATAACCATTTCATAATTTGATCCATAGATATTTTAACCAATGAATATGTTAACAGTTTTTAACCAATTGATATTCATACCACCTCTTTATGGCAATTTTAATGGGGAAAAACAGGTAACCCAAGGAAAACACATGGAAAACATGGTGGTGAGCTGAATCTAAAATTGGGATATCATTGGGATATAACCAATAAAATTATATATATATATATACATACACACACATACATATAATATATATATAATATAATATATACACACATATATATATATACACAGTACATATGTATGAGAAGAATTATGATTTGATGGGATATTCATGGTGATCTAGTGGGATAGAACTAATGTTAGTAAACCCAATAATAAACAATTCCCAGTTTTACCATAAATGGTTTGGAATCCAACCATCCATCCACACGGGTGGTTTATGGCATTGCTTTATCAACATCCAACAACATCGCCCCCGTTGGCCATTGAAATAGGACATATTCTTGTAACCAGACAAGAACATTGAAGCAAGAATCTTCAAGCAAGAATCAGCCAAGTTTTTTTCAAGTTTCTGGGGAGAAGTGTGTCCACAAAAAGGGGTTGTTCAGCCATCAAGAAGCCAAGGATAGCACTAGGATTTATGGGTATAGCATAAGTTGATATCATACATCAACCTATCAAAGGGGGGACCCATGTTCTAACATTTTGGCAACTGGGGATTTCCATATCTTTGGATTTGTTCAAGGGAAAAAATAGCATGAAACCACCATTTTTAAAGGGAAAACCACCATTTTTCATGGGAAAACCACCATTTTTCATGGGAAAAGGCATGGTTTTCTGCAGGATTGAGAAGCCCTTGGGGCGGCTCTATCACTCCGATGCCTTGCGCCTTGGGACAACGGACGAAGCTGTGGTAAATGTTAAGGGTCATTTTCTAGCAGATTTGTAACTTATCGAACAATTAATGACACAATTAATTAGAAAATATGAAAATCTAATATATAGATGGTTAGACTAATTACTTATATTATATACTAATTAGTCTAATTAATCGCTAATTTTCTAACAATTAGATGTATATAAGTGATTAATTAGAAAATTAGCGAATTGACAAATTGTTTATTAGCATTTTTTCAAGTATGAAAGTGATTAATGTGGTTAAAACAATGTCATAAACTACCCATGACTGGGAATGGTAAAAGTACCGCATAAAAATAGTGATTTGGGGGATGGTTTATTTAAAATTGAAGATGGTGCTTTGGATGACCCAACAATATGGGATTAGCCTCTGGTAAACTACTAGGTTGCTATATGTTGCTATATGTAAATGGCCCATTTATATATATATATAATTATATATATATATACACTATATACATATATCATATATATATAATTATATATAATATATGGTCAGCGCCCTAATCCTCAATATGGGGATTCTGGGGGGGGCGGCGACCATATGTATATACAATGTAGTTGATTTAACTATTAAGTAGCAAGATAGTGATTTTCCAGGGCTATGTTACTTTGCCAGAGGGGAAAATGGATTAACTGGGAATACAACAAACTGGGGTTGAGCAGAAAACATATTTAAAAAAAAACACGTTTCACTGGTGCTCAACCTGCTGGTGAAAGATCAAAAAATGAGGTTTTACTATGAGTCCGAAAGATGTTAGCCGACCTCACGGTGATTGTGATGGCTTATATATGGGGAAGCCAGCCCGAAATTAACAATTTTGAAGCCTTCGCTTTAGTCATTCCCATTTGACGGTTTAACTTCACATTTTTTTCTGACTTGAAATTATTCTAACCTGCCTTGATCCAGCAATCTAAGCTGCTTAAGCCTAAGCTGGCATGGACACTTCTCATTCATGTCTATTTTGATGATTCTCTCATCAACACATTGTTTATGGGTGGGATTTCGCGTTGTCAGCTTAGAGTACAGAAGAGTACTGGGTGATCTATAAGCCCTGTAAGCCTTGGGTCCCAAGGATGTAGAAGGTAGGCGAAGGCTGATGGGCAATCATGTTGCCTTAACTGCGAGCACATATCCTACAGAGGCTTTCCAGTGGTTTGTGTGTTCCATATTGCTGAAATACCCTCTGGTAAACTAACAGTTTGCTATGGAAAATCACCATTTTCAATGGGATAATCCACCATTTCTATGGCCATGTTCAATAGCTATGTTAAATTACCAGAGGGTATATTAGGTTTACCATATTAAAATAGTGGAATGATGTTTAATGGGATATAAAGTGGTACCCCAAATCTAGTGGATCAGAAACATTTCGGAAAATCCCAAATCCTATCTTAATTTCAGGGTACTGCAAGCCTGGGATAGGTAAATCCTGGCTGGTTGAGGGCTAACGCGGCTAACGGTGAAATGGGTTGCTTCATTTTTGGCTTCCAATTAAAGCAACCAAGTGTTCGCATTGCACATCAAAATCTGGTTGGTGGTTTGGAACATGTTTTATTTTCCATTTCATATATGGGAATTTCATCATCCCAACTGACAAGCATATGTTTCAGAGGGGTAAGTATACCACCAAACAGAATTATTGCAAGGTATCGAAAAGCAACAATGATTCACTGCTAAATCGATTCTTCGTGGGTTCCCTCAAGATGTTTTTTATATATATATATATTAATAGCTGGTTGGTGGTTTCAAACATGAATTTTATTTTCCATTTCATATATGGGATGTCATCCTTCCCATTGACGAACTCCATCATTTTTCAATATCGTTAAAACCATCAACCAGATAGTGTCTTTATGTATCTTTGATTCCCCCCAAAAGTTGAAACTAGAGGCGTCTATCCGTATGATGTTGGTATAAAATTAAAAAAAAAACATCCCAAGTTTCACCATCTTTATAGGTGGTATGGAAATCCCATTCCCAGTCATGGGTAGTCTATGACATTGTTTAAAACATGTACATGTTTAGATATCGATCTTAGAGGCGCGCTGAAGAGCACCTCTTACTAGGGCCGCTTACTAGGCCGCCATAGGGAGAGGGTCCATGACCGAGGCAATGGTTTAGTACCTGGGGCTACTTGGTGTTTTATCGCGCGGCAGCGCTTGGGAAAACTTGGCTGGGTTGGGAAATCACCATAAATCACCATAAAACCATAGGAAAACCATGGGAAAACCATTGGAAAATGGGAATGTCATGGGGATTAACCCTGACTGGTTGGTGGTTTGGAACATGTTTTTATGTTTCCATATGTTGGGAATAATCATTCCAACCAACTAATATTTTTCAGAGGGGTTGAAACCACCAACCAGATATGGTGAATTGACCATCAGGATAAACAAGACTGGCAAGTCTCGAGCTGAATAGTTCAACACGTTCTTTTTGTTAACCATCGATGAGGCTACGTGCATTTAACATGGCCTATTCTTTTGCAGTTGCTGCCTAAGATTGGCCGTGTTGGATGTGTTTTCTTGGTTTGTACACCATGTTACACCCTACATCCGACAACTGTTTTAGAAAACTCTTCGCGCGGGATCAACAAGGCAATTGGCCGTGATGGATCGCGGGTGCGAAGCCATTTTCCACCCATGACTGGGAATGGTTTATACCACCTATATATCTATATATGGTTATTTGGGGGATGGTTTAGTATTATTTTACCCACATTATTGGCATATATATACCCCCTTGTAAACTAACATAACTATGGAAAATCACAATTTTTAATGGGAAAACTCACTATAATAGCTGGCTGGTGGTTTCAAACATGAATTTTATTTTCCATTTCATATATGGGATGTCATCCTTCCCATTGACGTTCATATTTTTTCAAGATGGTTATTGCACCACCAACCAGTCTATCTTACAAACACACTTTCTGTTAGGCTTTGGTGTTCAAGAATGGGTCATACCCGAAAGTTGCATGTATAAATTTACGTGCATTTTTATATCTGCGCAGCAAAACAAAAAATGCGGTGTATATAATGTTATAGACCGAAATATGTCATGTATTTTACATGTATTACAGTCAGACAGTTTAATGTTATCCAATTTACCGCTAATAATTCGGTCGATAATCCCATTAAGGAGTTCGATATATTGGTCTATCTACCAGAAACCCTAGTGACAATAGTTATGGTCACAAACTTAGCCAAACAAGACCCATAAAAATCCTATATTAAATGCCATTACATCTGAATAAATTAACACGACCTCACTGCGACCTCACTGCAACCTCACTGCAATAGTGGTTAGTAGAGGTAACAATCCCAAAATAGCTTCAATTCAGCTTTGTGAATTGTTATAATTTACCCAGATTAATAGCTTATGTGGATGGCTTATGTTCACCAAATTAGCCAACTAAATCCCATTAAAATCTTATTAAAGCCAATCAAATCACCAGTACTTCCTATAAAATCAGCAATAAAGTCCGATTCAGTCCCACTAAATCACGATGAAATCCTATAAAATCACCAATCATTTCCTATTAAATCCTATTATATCACCAATTTTTATCGACATTTTCTCATAGTGGCACCACGGTACCGAAGCGAGGACGGGAGGTGGTCCCTCGCGTGGGCGTGGCAGGTGGCGTCATCGGCTTGATCCTAGTGATGCTCGCAGAATGGATGATTTCGATGGTCTCCAGTATATCATCTATACCATCTATATATTATATCTGGGTAAATTATAACGACCTCACTACGACCTCACTGGAAATCATGGTTAGTAAGGGGAATCATCCCAAAATGGCCAAGTTTCAGGTTAGTGAATTATTATAATTTACCCATATATATATATGAAATTATACTAGGATATATATCTGGTTGGTGGTTTCAAACATGAATTTTATTTTCCATTTCATATATGGGATGTCACCCTTCCCATTGACTATTTTTTTCAGAGGGGTTAAAATTATCTGGGTAAATTATAAAGATATTCAAGTATTATAAAGATGGAAGTTTCCTGACATGGCTTTGTCTGAAATGCGTGAGTAATCTCCAGTAAATCCATATGGCTCTGGATCAAAACCGCACCCTGAGACCCTAAAATAATCTAAATAGATGCTTCTTGGTCATGCAAGGTGGTGCCCCCAAGATAGCGTTCAGTTGGTTTATAACTCCAATAACTGTGGTTTATAGGGGATATATCTATACTTAATTAGGTGTATAAACCATTTATAACTAGGGGCACCGCCTTGTGTTATTCCCCCCCAATATGGCAATATTGGTTTTTGACCCGGATGTTTCCTGTACCATGGGGTAGCCCCAAATCATCAATGTCAACACTATTTTCCGTTATAAACACTATAAACCATCCAGCTATTGTGGTACCCCCATTTTTGGAACCCCCCATATAGATGGATGCAATGGAATATCTGGAAAATTGCGCAACTCGTGATTTGTGAATGATTTATAATTAATATGATTTACCATTTACAGTATACATTTATAGATCATTTTGTATATGAAATGCCGCTGTTCCATGGAAAACACTTTTGGTCATGACCCGGCGGCAATCATGTTCTATTATTCACAGATGGGACCATGTTTCTATGCGATATTTAAATGGCATAATTGGAGATCATTTGATTTAAAGGTGGTTTTAAAAAAGGTGGTCATATAAACATTACTTAGCCATGGAAAATTCGGCTTTCACGAGGGGGAACAAATTGTGATTTAACCATGTGTCTATTTAACATGTATAAATCTCCAATTGATGGTACCGTAGCTACAGGTGAAATCCCCATTGATTTTTTTCATTGCCATGGAATAGAAGGATAAACAATCGGAGTGGGCGTACTAATGAGGAAGTATGCAATCAGTATATATGGAGATTGAGCGGGGTATGATCATGATGCTTTAGTGAGATAGAACTAACCACCAATATGACAAGGTTGTCTGTCCAATATGACTTGGGAACCCACAAAAAAATGCCATTACCAGTATCGACAAAGATTTCTAGATTTACATCAGACATGATGGTGACAAATGGCTTAGACTGTTTGCGAATGCAATTTCGCTGGCTAGGGTGTGTCCCACTTAGTAAATGGGCTAATATATATATATATATATTGAGTATTCCCATTCATACATGCTAGAATTAATAGCTTATATTAATGAAATTGGATAATTAAAGGCTTATAACCCACATATGCCATTAATATATGGATTATAAATATGGGTTTAATTAATGGCTAATCAGCCACAGATCCGATTCGTGGGGCCCGCACATCCAAGTAGTTTTTTTTCTTTTTTACCCTCTGGTAAGCTAACGTAACTATGGAAAATCACCATTTTTAATGGGTAAATCCACTATAAATGGCAATTTTCAATAGCTATGTCAAATTACCAGAGGGTAATGCTTGCGTATAACTCCAGTTCATGGGGCATAATCCCATGAGAATCCCATGAGAATCCCACGCTCAAATGGCGTATTTTCCCATCACCCTAATATTAAACACCCCATTTCTATGGTCCCAATTATGTGGAAATTTCCCACTAACCATGGTTTCTAAGGGGTTATATAATAAACAATATTAGTTTAATGTGTTTAGATTTATGGATGTCATGTTTAATGTATGTCATTGTTTAATTTTTAATGTTTCATTGATTTACTGATGTTCTATAGATTTCTCGATGTGATATATAGACAGATAGATAGATAGATAGATAGATAAGATAAGATAAGATAAGATAGGATGGATGGATGGATGGATAGATAGATAGATAGGTAGGTAGGTAGATAGATATATAGATAGATAGATACATACATGACCCCCACAGAACCCACCACGGACTTGAACTTTCATCTTGCCAAACCACCAAGTACTGAGAGGTTAAAGAAGAGCTCAGCGGTATTAAAAAAAGATGCCACACACAGAGTGCTGTGGCAGGAAATGTATCTTCAAATGACATCTCTGCATCATCTGCTGAGCAGGTTCTTCTTCAACTCCAGCAAAATCCCTCGATCTGGACCTGCTCTCAGAGTCGACCAATGTTTTGAACAAAAAAGTCGAGAGAGGTGGACCAGGAGATCCAAAGATTGCAACGAGAGGAGGAGCATCGGCACGAACCACATTTCAGCATCGGCACGAACGAACGTCCCAGGGCGACTAAGAAGGTGCCTGAGATGAACGTCAGGGAAACTTTTTGAGAAAACCAACAGAAATTGCAATAGTTCACGAGTTCCATAGCAAAGTTGGTATAGTTCACTACACTAACTCGTGTTTATGATGTTGATGGGGATATATATATATATACACATAATTAAGTAAATTAAATGGGGTTACAAAGCAACCCGAGGAGGGTGAAGGTGGAATAGTCGGAAGCCCCATCAAAGGTTCGTTACCCTCCAAAGGTGGTCCTCCTCAAAGGATAGTTCCTTCACTATGGTTTATGGTAGGTTTTTGTCTAAAGTTTTCATGGTCTTTATAAACAAACAACATACATCAACATACCATCGAAAAAAAAAAACACATAGCTTTGGAATATCCACCATGAAACCAGAAGAATTTTCGGGAAACCCCATGAAATCATCATTTTTGTGGGGTAAATCACCATTTTTCATAGGTAAGTCCCATTGAATTTCCGGGAACCCCCTGGATTTCCATAGGTTTTTGGTCTGTTTCCTCTTCAGGGTCTAGCTGCTAGGCCTCACCGTCTCGCCGCGGCGACCGAGGAAGACCACCATGCCACAAGTCGTGAGAACATCGGATGGTTTGCCGCGCGGATGTCGTGGTTGGAACGGTTTCGGAATGGAATGCTTTCACTAAACTCATAGTGGATGGCTTGTAGCCATACAGATTGTTGATGATATTTGATGATATTTGATGATATTTGATGATATTTTATTGTTCTTAGTTCGGATTAGATGGATTGAAGAACATGCTTGAAGATACATGCCAGTAAAAGTGAAGCTTTGAGCAGGGAGACACCACGAAACACTTCGATGGCGATCAGCATCCCACAGGACGAGGCCCATTGGAGATAGGTCAGTTGGTCTATCGCTGGGCGTACCAGGGTTTACGGTGGATATATCATGAGATATCCATAACATAATATAACATAACATAACATAACATAGTTGTATGGGTTGCTAAACAAAAGTACTGGGGGCGTCCTTCTAGCACTTTAACTTTGGACTATGTTTTTTGGGAGGTATCCTTGAGGTTTTGTCGCCAAGGATGCCACAGCTGACGCGACAGATGTGGTTCAGTCGCTTGGAGTGGAATCGGGGAAGGTGCTGGGGTTCTGGGGGTACCCTCCGGTAAACTAACAGTTTGCTATCGAAAATCCTCGTTCATAATTGGTAAATCAACTATAAATGGGCAATTTTCAATAGCTATGTTAGATTGCCAGAGGGTGAAATATGTTGAAATATGTTGAAGTCAGTTAGGTGAAAAAACACTGCTATGATAGTAAATTGATGGAAGGCCCCCCAAGTATGTGTGCTTGTTGACACCCCCAAATCTAGCTATAGATTTGCTCACCACTAGTTACCCTCTGGTAAACGTTTACATAACTATGGAAAATCACCATGCTATTAATGGGTAAATCAACTATTTCGACTGGGCCATGTCACCATCATTAATCACCATTAATCACCATTAATCACCATGAAGTTGCAATGTTCAATAGCTTTTTTGTATGTTTACCAGGCCGGGTACCCTGGTTATAAACCAACAGAAACCGCATGGGTCGTGCTCAGAATCAATGGGACCCTGGGACCCTTTTTGGTTGCCACCACCGAACTAAAGTTGGTTGAGTTCACTCCAATAACTGTGGTTTATTGATGTTTAGTGTACTTATAATTAACTATAAGTACTTATTATGTTTGTTGTATTTATATGTATTTATTGTGTTAATGACTATGGTTTATTGTACTTATGACTACTGTATAGTAAATGGGATTAATAAACGAACTCACAACTGGGGGAGGCACATTGCAGGGTAAGATTTGTTTAGGGTTCACTTGGATGTGCATCCCACTTAGGATCCATCGTTTATAGCCCCATCGTTTATAGCCCATATAACAACTGGGAATATCATATATATATACAAATGGGGTATAATAAAGAATATGGTAAAATAATGTAGACCTAACTATAGATAACTATAGCTGTTGGTGAACATAACTCCAATAACTATGGTTTATAGATGTTTATAGGTGATATATCTATAGTATCTATAGTTTTAATGGGGTTTATAAACCAACTAATCATAGAATTGGATGATGGGAAAATTTACAGGAAAGCCCTATATGTGATGGTAAAAACCATGGTTTCCTGTAGATTTTCCCTTAAACCAATCCATTGAACTAACATAGATATCAACTTAGACATGGAACTGCGCCCTTTAGATCTCGGCAACTCGTTCACCCATGGTGCTCCCGATTATATAGGAATGGTGCTCCGCATTACACCTGTGGCGGGTGGCCTGAAAGCTGCACAGTATGCAGCAATGAGAGAAATGACGCCCAGCTGAAACGAGGTGGTCCTAGAGGGGGGATTCAGTAATAGTATGATTTAGGATTTTATGGGTGATTTAATGCGATTGAATTGCGGTTGGTGATTGAATGGTGGTTTAATGAGATTGATTTAGGATTTAAATGGGATTCAATGAGCAAAGTTGGTGAACAAAACTCCAATGTCACTAGGGGTTATGGTAGACATATCTACACTTAATGATTTAGGATTTAAATGGGATTCAATGAGCAAAGTTGGGGAACAAAACTCCAATTTCACTAGGGGTTATGGTAGACATATCTACACTTAAGGGTAGATATAAACCAACAAACACAAGTGGGGGTGGGCACCACCCTGCGATCGTTTTTTTTTTTTCATAAGGTTGTAGAATGACTAGGGATGAAGATGTGCAAACCTCAGGGCTTATGACGCTGTTGGTAAAATGCGAACGTGAATGATGGTTTCAAAAGCTAAGTAAGAAATCATAAACCAACAACACTTGACTGTGAATTGTACCACAACCATCACGCATTTAGTAATGAATTAAAGGACCGGATAACCCCACAAGACAACTTCTTCCAATAATGAGCGCATAGTGCTGTAGCGGGGCCAGGGAAGGAAGGAAAGACAAAGGAGGCGGTGGAGGATCGAGAAGTAAAACAAAGTTGTGTGTGACAAACTGGCATGTGAAATATGGTGTATGATGAAGAAAGATGGTGTGTGTGTGTTTGAAAGATGGTGTGTGTGAAAGTTGTGTGTGAAAGATGGTGTGTGACAAAGTGGTGTGTGACAAAGATGGTGTGGCGAAAGATGGTGTGTGACAAAGTGGTGTGTGAAAAACGGTGTGCTGAAAGATGGTGTGTGAAAGATGGTGTGGTGAAAGATGGTGTGTGACAAAGTGGTGTGTGACAAAGTGGTGTGTGAAAAATGGTGTGCTGAAAGATGGTGTGTGGAAGATGGTGTGTGAAAGATGGTGTGTCAAAGATGGTGTGTTACAAAGATGGTGTGTAAAAGAGGGTGTGTGAAAGATGGTGTGTGACAAAGTGGTGTGTGAAAGATGGTGTGTGTGACAAAGTTGTGTGTGAAAGATGGTGTGTCAAAGATGGTGGGTGACAAAGTGAGTGAGGCGCCTGCCACGCAAAACGAGCGTGGATGTGAGATTGTGCCACGCCTGCCACGTGATATCAAGGTGAATGTCACCAAGTGCCACGTGATATCAAGGTGAATGTCACCAAGTGCCACGCCTGCCACGTGAAACGAAGGTGGATGTCACCAAGTGCCACGCCTGCCACGCAAAGAGGCGCGGCGCCCCAGGCGACAAATCCGGACCAAGCGCGCCACACAGTACCATGAGTGCCACGCCTGCCACGCAAAACGACGGTGGATGTGAGTTAGTGCCACGCCTGCCACGTGATACGAAGGTGGATGTCACCAAGTGCCACGCCTGCCACGCAAAGTGGCACGGCGCCCCTGGCGACAAATCCGGACCAAGCGCGCCACACAGTACCATGAGTGCCACGCCTGCCACGCAAAACGACGGTGGATGTGAGTTAGTGCCACGCCTGCCACGTGAAACGAAGGTGAATGTCACCAAGTGCCACGCCTGCCACGCAAAGTGGCACGGCGCCCCTGGCGACAAATCCGGACCAAGCGCGCCACACAGCACCATGAGCGCCACGCCTGCCACGCAAAACGACGGTGGATGTGAGTTAGTGCCACGCCTGCCACGTGAAACGAAGGTGAATGTCACCAAGTGCCACGCCTGCCACGCAAAGTGGCGCGGCGCCCCTGGCGACAAATCCGGACCAAGCGCGCCACACAGCACCATGAGTGCCACGCCTGCCACGTGAAACGAAGGTGGATGTCACCAAGTGCCACGCCTGCCACGCAAAGTGGCACGGCGCCCCTGGCGACAAATCCGGACCAAGCGCGCCACACAGTACCATGTAAGTTTGTGCCACGCCTGCCACGTGAAACGAAGGTGGATGTCACCAAGTGCCACGCCTGCCACGCAAAGTGGCGCGGCGCCCCTGGCGACAAATCCGGACCAAGCGCGCCACACAGTACCGTGAGTGCCACGCCTGCCACAAAACGACGGCACATGTGAGTTTGTGTGTGTGTGTGCGTGTGTTGTGTGTGTTTTGTTGTTGTGTGAAGTTATTGTCTGTTAAGTTTGTGTGTGTTAAGTTTGTGTGTGTTAAGTTTGTGTGTGTGAAGTTATTGTCTGTTAAGTTTGTGTGTGTTAAGTTTGTGTATGTTAAGTTTGTGTGTGTGAAATTATTGTCTGTTAAGTTTGTGTGTGTGAAGTTATTGTCTGTTAAGTTTGTGTGTGTTAAGTTTGTGTGTGTGAAATTATTGTATGTTAAGTTTGTGTGTGTGAAGTTATTGTCTGTTAAGTTTGTGTGTGTTAAGTTTGTGTGTGTGTTAAGTTTGTGTGTGTGAAGTTATTGTCTGTTAAGTTTGTGTGTGTTAAATTTGTGTGTGTGAAATTATTGTATGTTAAGTTTGTGTGTGTTTTGTTACGGAGGCGGCGGGAGGAGGAGGAGAAGCCCGGGATACAGAATCAAAAACAAGAACCCCACACAAAGATGTGGGCAAAAACATGGGTAAAATCGTCACTTTTTTTTGTTATCCTGTCCGGTAAATGTCCAACTCGTTGGCCAGACAGCGATGTTTTACTGGCATATCATCCAGTAATCAAACATGGCCTGTTTTTTCAGACCCTAAGGGTTTCGATGATTTTCCCAGAAACTTCCATGTCGGATGTCCCATGATTTTCCCATGTTTTTTTCCATGAAAAAAACGTCATTTTTGATGGGTTTCTCGGCCAGCTACATGTCAGCTATGTTTGATAGCGGTTATGGCGAAACTATGGATGCATCCATCGACACGGCCTAAGGAAACTCTCGTTGGATCACGTACCTGGGCTGATCTATGGGCCGATGGACCCCTTAAGACAGAGTCGCAACTGGTAAACTATTGGGACTATGGGAGAAAACAGGGATAGTGGATTATCATGGAATATAATGGGGATTATGGACTTTTATGGGGTTTGAAATTTGTGTGGTTACGGGACGTCGGGGATTCTGGCCGGTTTAATATTTGTTTAATGGTGATTTCATTGGATATATCGGAGATATTATGAGATTGGGATATTGATGATTATTTAGCTACACGCTTAGATCATTTTGGGGTTAGATAGATGTACCACGCATTGACACAACCCCCAAATGTTACTCTTTATCAAGGTAGAAACAAGCCACCAAGCTGCATGAACAAACCACATTGAGAAAATAGACATTTATAAACATATTATATAAACATACATAAACATATATTATATAAACATCAACAAAACTCACGATGTCATCCCTTTGTGCTGGCTGGTTTTGTCAGTTCCGATTGCATGGGTCAGTCCATAATCGTCACTACATCAGGCAGCATTCCGCCCTATGCTACGCATTTCCTGTTGCCAAAAACCACGACGTTCGTATCGTTTTTTTTAATGAACAACTTGGTGTTTCGTTTAGTTTGCTAGAGGTAAAAACAGACAGAGCCGAAACAACAAAAATTACAGCAAGAAATTTGGATTTGCGGGTATGTGCTAATGTTTGCGAGATATTTGCAGGCGCTTTGCGGGTAACTCTTGGCGAGCTCATATTGTCAGCCCAAAACCAGCAGAATTCCAACACTGTGACAAAAACACCAAAATTCATCGAACTTCATGAAAACGTGTCGTTCTTCGCGAGTATATGGCGTTTACAGCTTTTGCGGGCTAAATAGTGCAACCAACAAAACTACAAGAACATTCTGGTTGTTAGAGGGTTCAGGTTATGAGAACCTATCATCGAGGGGATTGCCTTTTGGTAATCTAAAACGGCGAAGAAAACCATGTCTAGTAGGTGGGTCATATACAAATGGACCATGTTCCAACCAGAGGGTAGTGCTCATGTTGACACTTCCTAGATTTTGATGGGACCGATCCAGCCTTCTTGAAGTTAGCAGGTCTGGGATTTACTGAGTTGCCATTGGGACGATTTTTTTCAGTTTGGGCAATCAAAAAAAAGGAAGTTTGGCTCCCAGCAGCTTTGGCTCAATCCTCATATGGTTAATTTATGTTCATTTCATAGTTAACTTCCATGTTTTCGTCTTAATCCCTACTTTTCGTGGTAAGAACCCACCATTTTCTCCGAAGAGAATCCACAGTTTTTCTGCAGGATGGTGCCCCCCCAGTTGTGTTTGTTGGTTTATAAACCATATTTGCATCCATTAACTATATTAGTTATATCTACCATAAACCATAGAATTCAGCCACTTCTAAGGCAACTTATCACTGGATTGGTGGGAAAATCACCGGAAACCATGGTTTTTCATGTTTTTTCGTCATGAAATATCAGGTTTTCCATGGTTTTCCTGCAACATTTCCCCTGAAACCAATCCATTCATAGCTATCCAACGGTCCATCGGAGCTTCCTTTCAGGTAATGCATCCAGCCGCATCCTCCATGGTGTCCTTCGGTGTGTTGGGCACGGGCTTTCAGTGCCATGGCCGCACTCGTTAGGTCCTGGGGACGATGACTCGGCTGAGCGGCTGGGAATATGGGAAGTTCATATTCTGGTTGGTGGTTTGGAACATTTTTTATTTTCCATAATATATGGGATAATCCTTCCCATTGCCTAATATTTTTCAGATGGGTTGAAACCACCAACCAGTATTTGTTTCATCAACTATAGTTACAATCAGCTAATTATGTTTAATATTTGGAATCTATATTCTCAATGGGAATTTCACCATCAAACATCTGAGTTATGCAACATACCCTCTGGTAAACATACAAAAACGATGGAACATCACAATTTTATAGCTGGGTAAATCAACTATAGGCCATATCAATGGGAATAAAACAGGATCCAATTGATGGAGGTACGTAAACGTACCATATGGTTGACCATATTTTGTAGGGATATTCCCTGAAAATTAGGCCTAAATAGTAGGCCTTTTATATGGTAGGTACCTCCAATTTAGGTTCCTGAAATGGCCATTGATAAGCGGCTGGGAAGATGTCAACTATGGTTACATGGGAAAATCAACTGTAATCAAGGAGGTCCTAGGTGAACCAACTGGATAGGTATGTCAATCCTTTAATCTGTTGCAATTTCAATAGGAATACATACTTTCGCCAGCTAGAAAACGGGCAGGGATCAACCCTTGGATGGATACCAAATAGTACTTCAACCTCTTGCTGCAACTGGGGATACGAAACGGACCAAAAAAACAACTGCAATTCTTAAGATTGGCAATCTAAGATTGGCAATATTATGATATGTTATGATTAAGTTTAACATCACCGCGGTGTCGCTGGAATGATGGGAGTTGTTGGGACAACTATACCGAAGAACCGAAGAGCCTCATTTCAGAATTGTGATTATAGTTTATGCAGAAATATGTCTGGTTTAAATGTCTATTGGTTAATGAATATCCTACAAAAAGCCCCCCCCCCCAGTCTGTTTGTTTATTTATCACTCCATCCAACTATACAGACACTCCATGTGGTAAACCGAAATAACACCTACCATTTGGGATGGTGTTTATGGTAATGTTGGGGTTGTTTTTTTTTCCGCAATATTGTAATTAGCCAAGATCTATCCCAAATATCCCAAAAAATCATACCAGATACATCCAGATACCCAACCCTGATTTTCCGGGCTGGGTTGCTGAAACCTAAAATTTGCATCAGTAGCAACGGTTGTGGAATTAGACCATCGTTTTGCATGCGGACAACATCTGCAATATCCCAGTGGACATTCTCCAACTTTGTAGTGATCAATGTTTGTTGTTCAAGTTAATTTCTGCTAATTTAATGTAGCTACGGAAATCATCATGTTCAACGGGTATATTTTTTTCAATAATTAGGTAGAATTTTAATCACCATTAATATTTAAAAACATGTGCCATCTCCCATGGATCTCTTAAATAACCAGAGGGATCCCATGCTATCCTCATATCCCTTGAATTCCACGAAAACATCCCCGGGGTATTTCTACTAAGTTAAGCTACGAAACAAAAAAAAAGCCAGAAAGAGCTTCAGTCATTTCAGTTGCTGGATTGGATTGGTGGGAAAATCTGAACCGGAAACCATGGTTTTTCCCTTATGACATATAGGGCTTTGCTGTAAATTTGATTGGTTGAATGGAACATTTACAGGACCTCTATATTTCATAAGGGAAAAGCCATGGTTTCCGGTTCAGATTTTCCCACCAATCGCTGCTGATGAGGTCGGTGATCTATAACACTCTGATCTCGGAGATGTACAAGGTCTACACTGGCAAGGTGCCCATGACAAAACTGCACTACATTGCACTACTGCATGGGATAGTAATGGGATATTCCAACGGCAATGGGATGATATTAATACCCTCTGGTAAACTAACATAACTATGGAAAATCACCATTTTTCATGGGAAAATCCACTATAAATGGTCATTTTCAATAGCTATGTTAAATTACCAGAGGGTATATAAAACTACTGTTTTGGATATGATTTGTTAATGGGATAGTAATGGGATATTTAACCGCCCTCGGCGTGTTCCGCCGGCCACCATGGAAAAGCCGCAAACAGCGTTTGCACAAGCCATTAAGAACATGGTTTTTGTGTAAAACATGGTGTTTGTATTAAAAAAACACGGTTTCTGTGTAAAACAGCGCTTTGTGTAAAAGACGGCTTTGGCGCGAATATATTTTTACTTGGGAACGGATTGTTGTGATTTGACAGATGTGATCTCACAATTGTTGGAGACTGACTGCATATATTGGCAATGATGCCACGCATGTCCAAATGCCGTGAAACAATTATTATTTGTCCTTACTTGAGATGGTCTTAACTTTAAGGTTGTGTTTTTCCTCACCAGGGATACAAACGTTCTCGGATGTTTCAAGCACCAGCATTTCATAAGAAATGGATGTCATCTACCCTCTGGTTATGTCAAAATAGCAGTTGAAAATGGCCCATAGAAATAGTGGATTTACCTAGTAAAAATGGTGATTTACCTATTAAAAATGGTTAGATCCTTATTATGTTCAGATTACCCTCTGGTAATTTGTTATATAGCTATTGAAAATTGTCCATTTATATCCATTTATAGTAGATTTACCCATTAAAAATGGTGATTTTCCATAGTTATGTGGGTTTATAAATGGCTTAACTATGGTTTATGGTAGATATATATATATATATAACTATGGTATTCATGGGGTTTATAAACCAACTTATAACTGGGGGGGCCCATCCTGTAGGATTCCCGTCCCGTCGGTGGGTTTGAAAAAACCAACTCGCCAGGCCAAAAAGGCAGTTTCTCTCCGAGAGCTTGCCAAAGGACCGGAGCAAAATCTCGGTGAACCAACTGGATGGTTAGTAATGGTTACCCTCTGGTGAACTAACATAGCAATGGAAAGATCCACCATTTTTCATGGGAAAATCCACTATTTCTATAGCCATTTTCCATTGCTATGTTAAATTACCAGAGGGTAGTGGTTAATGGTTCATGGCTATTAATAATGGTTAATGGTTCATAGTAATGGTTGATGGTTAGTAAGTGTTAATGACTAATGGTTAACCAACTGGATGGCTACAAACTAATCCTGAATGGCTTTTGGGTAATGGGATTATCTACGTTCACCAGCTAAATGTTGTTTTTTTGGTAGAGTATCATAAGATTAGAAATGAACAAATCACCACTAATTATCATGAATTGTCATTAATCACCATTATCAACCATTGTTAACCCTTATTAACCATGGAAAACACCATTAAATCACTCAAACTGGATAATTAATATTAGTGGGAAGAATAGCTATTACCATTAATAGTATTCATATTCACCAGAAATCACCAAGTTGCTGGATGATGTCTAGGCCACTTCACCTTATTAACTTGCTGGATGAGTAAAAATCACCCCTGATTTCCTGGCGAAAGCTTGTGGTTCAACCCACGGATCGGACGGATCGGAACTGCCTGGCAAAGCCTGGTGATCCTAAGTCAAGTGGCTTCAAAACATGTTGAAAAACCACAAATCACCATTCCATAGGAAAACCATGGGAAAACCATTGGAAAATGGGGATGTCATGGGGATTAAGCCTGATCTGGTTGGTGGTTTGGAACTTTTTTTTATGTTTCCATATATTGAGAATCATCATCCCAACTGACGAACTCATATTTTTCAGAGGGTTCAAACCACCAAGCAGAAGTTATTTTCCATAATATATGGGATTTCATCCTTCCCATTGACGAACTCATATTTTTCAAGATGGTTACGGTTATTGCACCACCAACCAGTATACCACATGTAAGTGGCTGAACCAACTAAAAAAAAAACATGATTTCCATATATTGGGAAAAATAATCCCAACTGACGAAGTCTCATTTTTCAGAGGGGTAGGTTCAAACCACCAACCAGAAGTGGCTGAACCAAGCAGTGATTCCCTGGGCTGATCCTCTAAGTATAGCTGCCCCTCAATCGTTGGGGACTTGACTGGATAAACCATGAACCCTGCTTACGTGGCTCATTCCACAAATCCTAGGTTATATCCCTGCTTGATCCTTTTTTTTTTTGAATTATCATTAGGTGGGGTTGGTTGGGTTAATCCGCTTGCAGCGGGGGTTCCGCGGAACTGACGAACAGAAGCCACCCACGATTGGGAATGGGGGGTAATCATCCCAACTGACGAACTCCATCATTTTTCAGAGGGGTAGGTCAACCACCAACCAGGTAACACCTCAAAATCATGAAATCAATGGTCTTATGGACCTTTTATGAAGTTTTGATACCGGCTATTGCACGTACTTTCCCAGTCATCTCGAGGGTTCCACCAGGAGTTCAGCCGGGTTTAGTGTGGTGCTTTGGGCGTGAGAGCGTGGCAATGGGATTGGGACTGTCTCTCGGCCGCACCAGGTCCCACGGTGATGACTGGATCATCCCATGGATCGCTGATCGATGAATTCTGGATAACAGCTTTGTCGGCCAATTTGATGAAGGAAGTGTCATTTTTTCTCGGATCAATCATTTTTTTTGGATCATCCCGCTGTGTAAGTGCCATGTAATCCATATATAGCCAGTTCATCCATTTATTTTCGCTGGCTTCGAAGCCACGAAATGGAGACTTCAACTCACACCAGGGTAATCAAAGGTGGCCCTCAGTTGAAATGCCCATGGGGATCACAGCGAGTGAAAACAATCCCAGTGTCTGGGATTTCAAGCCAACGTATGAAAGTATGATTTTTTACATCTAAGAACCATAGATGTCCCAAATTCCCATTGGTTGGTTGATTAATAGAGGGGTTTGTTTACCCCTTTAACAACAGGTGACAGGCAAATGATGATGGTATACCAAACCGGCCCCTCTATTTTTACCACATCATTGCTAAGAACAACGCTGTAACACTCAAAAAAACATGTGATCATTTTTTTTGAAAACAACAAAATACACCAAACTGACATACGAAATTGCCTACTGTATATATATACATTAAATCCCTATGAGTTTTTCCATTCTTGTTATAGTATGTCATAGTTAAACCACCATAAAGTCACCATAAATCAGCTATAAATCCGAAAAACATGCTCATTTTTCTTGGTGCAACCACCATTTTCCTATGGTTTTCCTATGGTTTTTCCTATGTCTAAATCCCAATCTAAATCACCATGAAAATCATGGATTCATCACCCTTAAATCACCATTTTCCTATGGTTTTCCTATGGTTTTTCTCCACAAAGACAGCCTTGCGCCGCGCCGAGTTCTTCGCGTCTCGCGCTAGGTATTTGGGTCCAGTCGTCAAGACCCGCTTGGCCGCTGCTGTGCAGGATGAGACTGGGAAACCCTGCAACTCGGCAGGAGATTTTGATGGAAAATTGCGGAAATGACCCTGGAAATCGCCATTTTTGATGGGGACCCTCTGAGAAACATACAAAAACCATGGAAAATCATGGAAAATCATGGAAAATCAGGATTTTTAATGAGCTAAATCCATTATAAATCGCAATTTTTGATGGGTAAATCAACTATAAATCGCCATTTTTGATGGGTAAATCCACTATCAATCACCATTTTCTATAGCTATAATGGGATATGAGTATAGGAATTGACCCGGCCTGGTAAACATACAAAAAACTATGGACAAATCACCATTTTCTAAACTGGGGTTACCCTCTGGTAATGACTAACATAGCTATTGAACATGGCCCTTAGAAATACTGTAGTTGATTTACCTATTAAAGATGGTGATTTTCCATAGCGAACTGTTAGTTTACCAGAAGGTAATTAGTGGAGTTTCATGATGGCTGGTGGATGGTGGCGAAATCCTGCACCACCAAACGGATGGTTGAAACCCTATAATGTTCCCTCTAGGAAATCCTGTTTGGGAACATGTTTTATTCCTTAAAGGGTGTCCTTAAGTGAATAGAAAGTATACAATTCGGGGATTTTCCAGCCAGCCATGTTTGATGACACCGGAGGGTATACGAAGGTGAACGTACAATGTGGGGCCCCGCCAGTTTTAGGAATATCTACCATAAACCCCGGTGATTGTAGTTAATTATAATTTATACAATCTGGGTAAATTATAACGACCCCACTGTTCTCCCTCACTGGAATGATGGTTAGTAAGGGAAATCATCCCAATATAGCCCTTATTTCAGGTTTGTGAATTAATTTAATTTACCAAGATTTATGGAATGCAGTGGGGTTTGATGGGATTAGACTGAGATTCAATGGGATCTAATGCGATTATCATTGGATTTCATGAGAAAACGTCGGGAAATTTCTATAAATAGACTTTTTTAACAGGAAAATCAACAATAACTGGTTGGTGGTTTGGAACATGAATTTTATTTTCCATAATATATGGGATGTCATCCTTCCCATTGACGAATTCCATCATTTTTCAAGATGGTTATTGCACCACCAAGCAGATCATATTTATCTAACATAACTATGGAAAATTACCATGTTCAATGGGAAAATCCACTATTTCTATGGTCATTTCCACTATTTCTATGGTGGTTTTTGTTGAGTCACTTGGCAAATGCAATCATCTTGGATTCGCTGAATCGATGATTTTTTGATATTACGGATCCTGTACAGGATGGGGATAGCGTTCAGTTGGTTTATACATGGCTGAATTCTATGGTTTATGGTAGATATAACTATAGATAACTATGGTATTCATGGGGTTTAGAAACCATTTGTTTTGTAATATGTTTTTTTATATATTTGGAGGGGTGGTCCTTCAAGCAAATCCAAGATCAGTGGGTTACTAATATTTAATTAACTGGTGGGTTTATAGTGGGTTGGTGGCAAAGGGTTAGTTATGATTACAATGTGGGCCCCCCTAGTTTTCAATTGGTTTATAAACCGTTTATAAACCCCATGAATACTAGTTCGATATATCACCTATAAACCATAGTGAAATTGGAGTTATAAACCAACTGAACGCTATCGTTATAAGTTGGTTTATAGCCCCATCTAACTATGGTTATAACTACCATAAACCCTTGTTATGTTAGTTATAAACCAACTGAACGCTGTCTTGGGGGCCCCACCTTATAGGGATATAAATGGAATGTTTATGCGGATATGATGTGTTTGGCTGATTTGCACCCCCTAACTATGGCACCCTATGGCCATGATCAAACAAGTACCCTCTGCTTATGTCAAAATAGCTATGGAAAATTGCCCATTTATTTCGTTGATTTACCTATTCAGAATGGTGAAAAATGGTGATCTTCTATAGTTATGCAAACGTTTACCAGAGGGTATTTGATGATATTCTTTTGTCGCTGGTCCTTTTAGTCCTTTTTCCCTCTGGTCGATCTGGTTGTTTTGGGCATCTTTCTTCAACAACCAATAGAATCAAAGATTGCAATGGAAATCTTCACTTTTGATAGGGAACTCATCATGTTAATCATCTACTTCTATGGACCATTTTCCTATGTCAAAATGTCAAATTAAACCAGATGGTAAAATGGTTTAACATGATTCAATTTGCTATAACTCCCAAAACTGACGAATCATGTCTACAAGGTGGTGCTAAGTGGGTTGTTTGCGAAGTTGCTTTGTAGCTAGGAACTCTCGTTGATGGGGTTTATCAACCAACTTCGAACTGCGGTTGACATTATGGGGGTCCAAATCATCCAGTCGTTAGGCCATGTTGGTATATGTCCTATGGGACTACACGGTGGTGCCCCCCTAGTTAGAAAAATTGGTTTAGATATACACCTAGTTAACTAGTTCGATATATCACCTATATAAACCATAGTTGTTATTGGAGTTGTGTTCACCAACTGAACCCTATCTTGGGGGCACCTTGTATTATATTCCCTACAATCGGATTTCCTTTTACAAGGGTCCAGACCCTTGTCCCCACATAGTCATCATCCAGGCATTGCCGGCGTACACCTCCCAGAGGTGAGATGAGAGCCAGAGCGCCGTCTCAGTTCGATGGGTGGTGAGTTTACCATCAAAAATTCGGGGTTTTAACGAGAAGGTAAGCTGGTAATGGCTACTTCAGTACAACTTAATCCGTCGCCACATATTGGGTGATAATGAACATATATAATGTACATATATATATATATATATTTTTGTTTTACTTTATACACTAAAAGAGCGCTTATAAAAGAAAAATATGACAGGATATCTAAGATGGGCTTTGTTCTGAAGTTGGTCATGGAACTCGGAACATGGGGCCATCAAGATTACCTGGGTGTTGAAATTGAAAAATTGTCGTTTTCTGGCTTCAATGTTAAGATTTCGGGTGGTAACTTATCAAAATCAATGGAATTCCCATACTATCCAGGGTGATGTTTCATTGTCCAATCCCCGATTTGTGCTACTTAAATCTTAATGTTTATTTCAAATTCTATCCATTAAAACGGTAACAACCTCCGCAATTGATAGATTTTGGTAAATCCAACATTGTAAGTACTGTGACGATGCCTGCATCGTTGGCAGGGGTTGCCCCTGCCACAAATTGCAGAATCCCTGTTAATATCCAGATGTTTCATGGTTAAACCCCCATTTAAATCAACAAATTGATTTACTTGGGCCAATGAATATCCCGATGTTTGATGGTAAAATCATTTTAACTTCCCATAGAAAATATCCAGATCCTCAACGGTTCTGTCATCCCTTTTTTTCGGATCAAACACATCCCCGTCGCGACCATCGCCACCGCAGACGGTTCTTCACTCCGTTGCCAGGGAGTGCTACGCTTCAGCGCCGGTTTTGCTTCAGGCGCCTGCACGGCCTTTGCCACGCAGTGGATGCACAACGTGTCCCTCTTCGCAGGCGCCAAAAAAAAGGGAGGGCCGGGGAGGTGCCCGTGAAGATCTAGCGGAACCCGGAGGCCTATATATCCTATACCTATTATATATATAGGATATATAGGATATATAGGATATATATATTTATATATATATATATCCTATATATAGACCCCTCAAGTACCTCAAAAAGGTGGCAATATGTGGCGCAATGTGCCGATTTTGGGACCCTCCAAGTACGGAAAAAGAAGCAACTTATAGATTCGACCATCAATAGGCTATCAATTGTTATGGGTACTGATAGAGGGTTTAGGTATACGGGTTGGTGGTTTCAAACATGAATTTTATTTTCCATTTCATATATGGGATTTCATCCTTCCCATTGAATAATATTTTTAAAGATGGTTATTGCACCACCAACCATATTTTCATAGAATTGGATGATGGGAAAATTTACAGGAAAGCCCTATATTTGATGGTAAAAACCATGGTTTCCGGTTGAGATTTTTCTCAACAAACCATATTACTGTACTTCATTTTTTGTACTTTGGAGTGCGGTCAACTACTGCGACTTGATTAACGGTTGGAAAAAACGAGGTTACTGGCATCGCACTTACTGATGCGTAGTTACGTTGCAATAGTTAAGTAAATCTGCATGGTATCAATGGATTGGTTTAAGGGAACATTTACAGGAAATCCCAATGATCTTAATGGGAATATCTATGGTTTCCGGTTAATATTTTCCCCAACCAACCAATCCATTGATGGTAAATTGTCACTATAGAGGCTTATGAATCTTCCGGGGTTGACAAGGTGGTTAGTGTTTGTGGCTTATGTAAGTGGGTTGTAACTTACAACCCCTCAACTGACGACGGCTTCGCCTCGACATCTTTTTGTGGAGGATCTTGTGGAACAAATCCTAGGACTTTCCTCTGGAATGTAGTTTCAAGGTTACAAGGTGGTGCCCCCTAGATAGCTAAGTTGGTTTATAACTGCAATAACTATGGTTTATAGGTGATATATCTATAGTTAATGGGGTTTATAAACCAATTTATAACTAGGGGGGCACCACCTTGTAGGCTTCAAGGATGCAAAGCAAATCATGTCAGCTATTTACGTTGGATCTCAGGAACTGGATACGTGGATACTTGGAGGATCATCCCACTTGCTGGGTGTAAGTGCTTCCTATCGGACCTATCGGTTAGAAAGTCCCCATGGGCTGTGGGATGATGATTCGATGATCCTCCAGGAAGTAACTCCTTGGAGGTTTCTAGCTGGGAGATATATACTTTTATTTGCTGAGTCAAGTAGTAAAAAGCAAATCCTCTGGGAAATCCAGTGCTGGGGAAATCCTGTTTGGGAACATGTTTTATTCTTTAAAGGGGTTCCTTAAGTAAATAGACAGTATACAGAAAACTCCGGAGATTTTCCGCAAGCCATGTTTGACTACCGGAGGGCATACGAAGGTGAACGTACTACCATCTGGTTATTTAACGCATTTCGCCATGGAAAATCACCATGCTATTAATAGGTAAACCATCTATTTCTATGGGCCATTTCCCATGGCTATGTTAGTCATAACCAGAGGGTAACCCCAGTTACAAAGCCGTTTTTGAAGTGGGATGCTCCATTGCAGTGCTGGGGCTGGGAGGGATTCTTCCCATTTCACCACTGAGCCAGTGGACCAGGGATACCCTCTGGTAAACTAACAGTTTGCTATTGAACATGGCCTATTTATAGTTGATTTACCTATTAAACCAGTGATTTTCAATAGTTGAGTTAATGGCTATTTACCCATTACCCAATCTTTATAGTTGATAATTAATGATAATTAGTGATTTTCCATAGTTATGTAAACGTTTACTGGAGGGTAAATTGTCATAAAACCATGACGACCTCACTGCGAGGTCACTACAATGATGGTTAATAAGGGAAATCTATCCACGATAGCCTGAACTCAGGTGAGTGGATTATGTGAATATTTATCCAAGTCAAAATATATTTATCATAATATATCATAATTACTTAAATCCAATATATTTGACATTGTATACATGTGAGTTATCCGGTCCATTAATACATTTTCCTTGGATATCAATAGTCCTCATCACCACTGATAATCCATAGTTAATTTCTCCGTAAAATATGGCTTTAAGTTCTACAATGTCATCCCGTGTCGGACAGGCCGCTTGGCTGCCCACGGCGCGGAGGAGGGAGCGCCCTATTACACCCGCGCTGCATGGCACACGGCTTACAAGGAGAGCGCTGAAGGTTGCAGGTTCGAGAGGTTCGAAGGTTGTTTTTATGGTTGACATTCCTGGGATTGTGATGGATTTATGGTATATACATATTGCATATATATTTCTAAAAAAACTGTGGGCATATGTTTTTGCATGCATAATATACGTATACATATATATATATATATACACAGAATATACCTATATATATATATATATGGGCCCACAGTGTGTGTGTCTTTCTCGATTGCCAGATGGGTTGTAAACCTTCTTGGCACAGTTGGTGGAAGCAACCTAGGCTAATATGAGCTTGTCTGAGCTTGTGGTGAGAGAATGTTTGAAGGATGAACATAAACTATTACACAGGTATACACACATTACCCTCCAGTAAATTAACAGTTCGACCCTGCCAGATGGGGGTTGGAAGATGAGTTTCCACTAAAACATGATCGATGTTCAGGGTCTATACAATGTGGGGCCCCCAAGATAGCTAAGTTGGTTTATAACTAGAATAACTAGGGTTTATGGTACTTATAACCATAGTTAGATGGGGCTATAAACCAACTTATAACTAGGGGTCCCCACATTGTAGGGTTTATGTTAATTTACCAGGGGGTAAAAAGGCTGAATTTCCTGGTCCCAGGTGGAACATAGCCTTACCGAATCTCATCCCTATGGTCTCCGTGAAAAATTTCCTGCTGGTGTCTGAAGGGCCGGGCGTCCCACAGGAGTTGGGCCCTGCAGTGTTCTACATGAATTATCCACATCGCATCTTGATTCGATGGTCGGTGCTGGGTTTTGCTGTGTGTGTTGTTTCGTTTTTTTTTGTATAATCTGGTTGGTGGTTTCAAACATGAATTTTATTTTCCATAATATATGGGATGATCCTTCCCGTTGACTCATTGACTAATATTTTTCAAGATGATCATTGCACCACCAACCAGTGATATGTTGTTATGGCAAACAAAGAGAGGAATACAACATATTCTCCAGCTGAAACATGTTTTTTTTGGCTGGGTGGATTGACGGATTGACCGCAGGTGTCTTGTTGGAAGTTTGTAAACGGCCCAGCAAGTGGAAAACCTAGCTGCATCAATATGTCATATCCCATTAAAAAAAAAAAAAACAATTTGTTTTAGAAGTGTCGGAGCTGAGGGTAGTTTTTTTTTTGTTTGTTTGGACAGACTCAAAACCCAGTTACTTGATGCATTGGAATCTTGTGGCGGCTTGATAACAATAACACTTGGTGATTTTCGATTGAGTTCATGGCAAACTAACAAGATGCCCATAACAAAACCTCATTGAAACAAATTAGTTGTTTGATAGATTAGTTGTTTCACAATTTCATTCATGACTCAGCTGTTTAATATCAGCAATTAAGTAGATGAAATGTTTTCGCTGAACTCCCCCCCCCAAAAAAAAAATATCCAGCTGTTGGTTTATCCATCAATCTTACCTGGTATTCCGTCATTTTGGGATTCCTCTGGATGTAGGCAATTCCAGTGATGTTTGATAATGTCAACCCTGGATAAACCATGCTTAACTAATGATCAATCAATTAATGCTTAATTAGATACCAGGTTTGATAGCTCTTAATTTATCCAGGGTTGACATTATCAAATTAATGTATCCAATCAACATTGTTAAACCAGATAATGCTTAATTAGCGAGCTACTCCCCAAAATAGTGATACAGTAATTGATACTTAATGATACCACCCGCAATAAACCGGCCTCAGCGCCTAATCCTGGGTAATAACTGCAGAGATATCCAGCATACATGCCAGCAAGTTTGCCTAGTTAGTTCAAGCCACTCAAACCTATCCAAACTTGGGTCCTTTGTACCATCCTACAGCCAAGGTTTATGATAGGTTTATGATAGACACACATGGAATATGCGCAGAAAGTGGTGCCCCATAACTGGCCAAGTTGTTTGAAATAACTCCAAATTTCACTTGCGTTTATGGTCGATATATCATGATATATCGAGCTACTTCAGGTGGGTTAGTTAGTTATAGACAAAAAAACCAACTGCAATTGCAGCACCTTGCAACTATCTATGGCTTAGGAATGCCACCTTTCCAGAGATCCCTTGAGTTTCAATCTCAAGGCTTAGCTGCTTGGGACTTGGGGCCCTTGGGGCCCCAAGGGGGCTGCGAGGTATGTGCCTCATTGCTGGGGCCGTGGCGCTGTTGACCTATGTGGATATCTTCCATCGCCCTGAGCTGCGAATGCTCTAATTCGAGAACAGGTGAGCCTCCAGTGATGGCTATGTTGGTTTAGTTTCAAGGCCATGAAAATACCATAGTTATGGTATATCCCCCAAAAAAACAAATAGTTGCCATAGTTAAGCAGGTCATGTGCGTCAACTTGGATAACTTAGCGATTTCGCTTACCGGGGGTCTCACCTGGTAGAAAACAAGTCCCCGAAACTTAGGGTATCTGGAGCGCATGGCCGCCGAGAGGGTTTAAGCAACAGAGAGGATGTCAAAGAGCTGAAAAGGTTGAAAACGTGTGTCTTCTAAAGACTTTGGACCCAAACTATTCATGCCATTCAGCCGATGGTTTGCACCCCATTCATCCACCTATCTCAAGGACCGGTGTTGCCCCAAACCTCAAGGAAACCGGAGGTTGGCCCCGTGGAGCTCAAAGTGGGGCTGGATCCGGGCGCCGGCCTCCGTCAATCCGCAGCAACGTAAGCAGCGAGGCAGTTGTCCCGGCTTGGCTCGCGAGATGCAGCGAGCAAAGAAACAACAGAGTGGAGGCTCAGCAGGTGGCGGGATTTGCCATTCTTTACCTATATTGCTATAATAATATGTAGACACTACAGTAACATATATATATATACACACTTACATATTATTATATACTATATATATATATATGAAACGTGGTTATTTCACGACTACTTTGTTTAGTGGGTAAAGATCATAAACACTAAACACATATAAACAGATTCTCGGTGATTACTGAAATACTAATCATGGTCCTTTTCCACTGGTCGGATCTGGTTCAACAGAGGGCTGCTCACTATGAACAGCCCAGAGTTGAACATAGTTGAAGCCAGTGAAAGATCAAGATTTCAACCATTGCATTCTAGGTTCAACATGATTCAACATGATTCATCATGATTCAACCACTCAACTGAGGATTAATGTTGTTTTTCATGTTTTTTTTCCATGTGTTTTTTCCTTAGAACTGCCTAGTCGATCTTTTCTCTTGGAAATTCCATGGGGAAGATGGTTGCTGGTGGTTGCTTCCGCAAGTCCACCTGTTTGGGTTTAACTGTTTCCTGCATTCCTCTTACTATGGGGATCACTAATTGGATTATAACCCAGTCCTCTACAAATAGAGTTGGTTTTTAAGGAAAAAACATGAATTATTAAGGACACTAGTATCACACCATATTGATCCTTCTAAAGACATTAGTTCCATAGAATAAGGACCAATAAGGTGTGGTTCAAATCTGGAAGCAGGTTTGTGCACGCACATCGAGGGACTGCAGAACCATTCAGTTTTGTGGGGTCGCAAAAGTATCCTATTTTCAGAACGGATCGTGAAATCATACTAGCTCCCAACAATCGGCTTTATTTGGATTCATTTGAACATGTTGTTTGCAAATCTTCAGTTTATAGTGTTTATAGATTAAAAAAAAAACCGATTGTAATTGTCCAGTCAAACTTAAACCTCTTCTGTGGGGTAGCTCGGGGTTCGAAATGTCGAAATGTTATCGCAGGTTTTAGAAGATCATGTTTGCCTGCGAGTTTCTGCTACCGGACAGTCCCAAGCTGAAAAACCGGCTTGAAATTTTCCACTGTCCTTCTCATGGGGCCGCCTCAGCGATCCACACGAAGGCGGCTCCCAGCCCAAGCTTTAGCTCATGAGTTGCAGATGTTCAACGGAATAATTTGGAATTGCGATGTTGTCCATTATTTTCCAAATGGGAAATCAACTACTTGGCCAATATTTTGAGGAATATTATATTGTTTTAGAGGCATTAAGCAAATCCAGGATCGGGTTGATGGTAGATAATATCGTGATATATCTATACACAAAAATGTCAACCAGCCACCAAAAAGTAACTGGCAAGCAGCATGTGACTGTGATCAAATATCTTCACCATTTTTTTTGCTCTTGATTTGAGAGAACCCCAAAAAATAACACCAACACCTTGTCCAGTTCAGCCATTTTCCCAGGCCGCCAGGGCGGTCATTTTTGCGGCCCGTGGGTCCGCGGCTCCAAAGGCGACATCCCCGGACGAATCCCCTCCCAGAAAGCATCGTTAAAAGATGCGGCTGCAGCTGGGCCCTGGAAAATGCGGAATCTCTTGGATGGCCATAGTTCACCATACCCTCCAGTAAACGTTTACATAACTATGGATAACTATGGAACATTATCATGGGTAAATCAACTATTTCTATATGGCTATTTTCAATAGCTACGTAAACGTTTACCAGAGGGTAGATTATGGAAGATCTAACCCATATTCTCCAAGTATGCAATATTCATCAACATTTACCCCAAACGTCATCCATTCGTGTGGGTAAATATTGGTAAATATACCCTACATGGAGCGTTTGGGGTACATGGGATATCATCGGAATTCATGGGATTTTAGGATGAGGATTCACGAGGGTCTTGCTGGCATAGATGTCCCAAATTCCAGTGGTTCGTAATATGAATAGAGGCTGGTTCCCGTTAAGCAACCAATAGATGACAATAAATATCATGCCACACCTTCAATGGGAATTCCAGGATCCTAAAATGGAGGTACTGTACCATACAATATAAGGCCATATTTTGTGGGGATATTCCCTTACATAGGCCTTACATAGGCCTTATAGATGGTAGGTACCTCCAATCTAGGATCCTGAAATGGCCATTGATACCTGCCCTGCTTTATTCCTAAAATGACCAGATTGTTGGAGGATGTTGGAAGTTTGTTTCGTTCCGCTATATTCGGTGACCATCCCTGCTTCAAGGTTACCTGCAAATTGAGCGATTCGTGGTTAGCATTCGGATATATATCGCCACCAGCGAATTTAATTCTGGTTGTGGTTGTCCCATTTACATATATCCCCAAGCTTGGATGGGTAGCCTTTTTTTGCTATAAATGGAAGATATTCATAACCAGCAATCAATGGAACATATTTTTTGGACTATCCAAGAGTCCAAGGTAGCCTCCAAACTCGGAGGATATCATCCCACTCTGGTGGGAATTGGAACCATGGAACTATGACTTTTTCATTCAGTTGGGAAGGTCGGTAGGTTGAAACCACCAACCAGTTAAATTATCTTGTATACCCTCTGGTAAACTAACATAGCTATTGAAATTGGCCATTTTTAGTGGGTTTACCTATTAAAAATGGTGATTTTCCATAGTTTTTGGTATGTTTACTAGAGGGTAGCCACCAAGATCTAGTGGGATAATCCAATGCAAACTTTAACTTACACCAGGCGGATCGCCAATCGCCACTCCATGGGAGGATCCTCCAAGAATTGCGATGTTTGTCGTACTGCATCCCACTTAAAACTCACATGACACGCAAGGCTCCGGTATCCAAGAGTGGCCTTCCTGTGATTTGTTCCGTTTTTTAAAATAGATAGAGAAAATACACACCAAAATCACCAAAGATTTCCAAGATTTGCGGAAAAAAACATAAACCAAGAGAGATCGACCATATTTTGTGAACCCTGATGCTTCTCATGACTTTTCTCTGACCTCAGGTTTCATAAGTCAAGTCGGGCTCTGGCAGGTGGACGAACACAACCAACCAGGTCGCCTTCCTTGGACGATGAGAAGATTTTCCTTGGTAATTCCTGGTGTAGACGTGTGCGTCTTTTGGGGACATGTTCTTGAATTTCGTGTGGCAAACGCAACAATGAAGCTTGGTTCGAAGAAACAAAAACACATTGAAAAACATCAGGTTTGGTTTGCCGTTTGGTTTGCCGTTTGGTTTGCCATACTTTCATAGTATAAGAATTCAAAAGGCACCCAGATGAGTGATCGCTACCGGAAATGGACCGGCCCAGCTACCGTCTCACAGACTCTGGCAGTGGAAAAAATGTGACAGACTACTTGGTGGTTCATCCCACTTAGTAACTAGGTTAACCAACTGGATGGGTACAAACTAATCCTGAATAGTCTGTTGGTATGGGATTATCTACGTTCACCAGCTTAGATTTTTTTTTTTGTATCTAAGATTTGGCAATGGAAAGTAGGTTATAACCCTGGTTATAACTGGGCTAAGTAGAGTTAGTTCACTTATAACTGGGGTGAACTAACCCACTTACTAATTACGATTCCTGGGATGAAGCACCATTCGTGGCTTCGTGCGGCCATCATCCCCAAGCTTGCATGGGTAGCTTTTTGCTAATGGAAAATATTCATAACCAGCAATCAATTATCTGGTCGGTGGTTTGGAACATGAATTTTATGACTTTCCATATGTTGGGAAGAATGTGGAAGAATCATCCCAACTGACGAGCATATTTTTCAGACAGGTAGGTATACCACCAACCAGGTTATATATTTTTGTTGGACTATCAAAGATTGACCATGCAATTCCTAGTTTGTAGGTGAATTAGCTATCATCCATCAGTTTGTGTTCTTTCATGTTTTTCTTTGCACATTTGTCTACTGGAGGGAAAACCTGCTTCAAGTAGATATGAATGGTTTACCCTCTGGTAAGATTTTCCACCATTTATAATGGATTTTCCCATGAAAAATGGTGATTTTCCATAGTTATGTTAGTTTACCAGAGGGTACATGTATGATTTGCTTCGTGTTCAGGATAAAGAAATGGATCTTATGAAGTGAGTTGTTTTTTTCCCACGTGGATCATGAACAAACATTTCACGGCCTGTCCATTTAGGATCAAATCGGTGATTTAGAAAGTTGAAAACCTCGACATGTCCATAGAACTAGGTTCACCAACTGGATGGGTAGAAACTAATCCTGAATAGTCTCTTGGCATCAATGGGATTATCTACTAACCAGCAAAGTTTTTTGGGGGGGTAGGGTATCTAAGATTGGTAATGATATCCATAGAATTTTTAGGGACCCAGTATTCTATGATGGTACCCTCACTCCCATAATCTTCCCATTGGCGTTTCGAACATGGGGATAGTATGGGGGTAGTATGGGAAGTATCTCATCATTACGGGACCCTATGAATTCCACTTAAACAATGAACCCAAAAAATGAACTACAAATCATCTATAGATCTATAGCATGCTG